CAAGAAATCCAACCCGACTTCCATTTCCGACTTTCGTCCCATATCCATACTCCCATTTCTTTCCAAAATTTTAGAACATTTTATTCTTCGGCGATTGTCCGAGTTCGTTCTCAAAAACAACCTTCTGAGTCCGTACCAGTCAGGATTCCGTGCTGCACATAGCACTGTTACTGCGCTTGTTAAAATTACTGACGACATCAGGCAAAACATTGAAAATAAGAATCTATCTGTCTTAGTTCTTCTCGATTTCACTAATGCATTTAACTCGGTAGATTTTGACCTGTTGCTGTGTATCCTGCGTTCCATAAACTTTTCATTGTCTGCCCTTTCATGGTTTGGGTCTTATCTGTTTGGCCGGCGTCAATTGGAGAAGGTGGATGATAGTCGTTCCGATTGGGCTGAGGTACTGACGGGTGTCCCTCAGGGTGGGGTCTTGTCGCCCCTACTCTTTTCTCTTTTTATTAATGGTATTACTAAATCTCTCTCCTCCTCATTTCATTTATATGCTGATGACCTTCAATTGTATACTGCTGCCCCTATCGACAGCTTAGCTAATGCTATCAATAGTATTAATAATGACCTCTGCGCTATCGCCGAATGGTCAAAAAGCTTCGGCCTTTTAATCAATGCTAATAAATCCCAAGCTATTATTATTGGCAGTCATCACTACATCTGTAGTCTAAGATCCACAGACCTTCAGATTGCCATCGTAGACAACATGAGGAATATACACATATATTCCTCATGTTGTCTACGATGGCAATCACATTCCTTTCTCTTCTACTGTGAAGAACCTGGGAATTATTATGGATCAGACTCTCTCATGGGGGCCACACATTGGTGAGATAAGTCGTAGACTTTTTTCTTCACTCCACTCGCTTAGACGCCTTCAGTTTTTTCTGCCTTTGCGTACTAAATTGCTGCTAGCCCACTCTCTTCTTCTTCCCTCCTGGACTACGCCGACAGTGCTTTCCTAGATCCTTCAGTAGAGTTACTTGACAAACTGGAGCGCTTGCAAAACCTTTGCATAAGATTCATCTTCGGTTTACGTAAGTTTGATCATGTCTCTGTCTATCGTAAGCAACTTAATTGGCTTCCTATTCGTGACCGTCGTAACATCCATTTGCTTACCCTTTTATATCAGATCCTTTACAACTCTAGTTCGCCCATGTACCTGCAGGAAAGATTCCGGCTACGGACTGATGACCGTCTTCGTTCCAGTCATAATCTAGTTTTGGCAATACCGTGTCATACGAGTCATTGTTATACTAACTCCTTTACAATACAGTCTGCTCGACTTTGGAATGCTTTGCCGACGGAGGTCAGATTGTCTTCATCGGTTTACTCTTTTAAGGCTCGCTTTAAAAAACTTTGGAGTCACACTGCAGATGCGCTGTTTTAGTATTCTTCATATATTTTTTTTTTTTTATAGTAATATTGTTTTTTATATATTTCTGCTGTTACTATTTATACATTTGTTATTTTATTATTATTATTTTATATTTTATATATATGTAGGTATATGTATTTATATATTATACTTAAATATTTATTTAATATTCTAGTTGTTATATATTATAGTTATATAATGCGTTTGCTTCTTTTTCCTTTGTTATTATTGTCATGTATATATATAGTCCCACCACTCCACAATTCCTTTCAGTCATTCAAAGGTTGACTGGAAGAAATCCCTCATTTGGGATAAGTCCGCCATTGTACATCTTATATATATTTTTTTAAGATCGTGTATCTTTAGTTAATTTAAATGTATTTATTGTGCAATAAAGTGTTACAAACAAACAAACAAACATTTTTTAATGGTTGATAATGGAATGATGCACTGCCTGCGTTAACGGTATACGCCGGCGGCGCACCAGTCGTTGATGATAAGATGATCATGAAGTTAGGACAGTCAGCCCATAGTAACGATTTCACAAGGAGTTAACGACGGCATCCATGTACCAGGGGGATCTAGTGGAGGTCGATCTAAGATGGATAATTATTAGCAATTATGTTGTTATTCCCCGTTACTAACAATTCCTTCCCATCGGTACTAATTACGCAGTAAAGCCTACGTTGCTGTTGATTTAATTCAAAGTGCTATTACGTCTGATTCAATGTTGCCCAGCGTTTGCTATGGGTCAGAAGGGATTCATACATTATTTACGTTTTCATTACACGAAATTGCTTATGTAAATAAACCTAAGCCAATTTGACGGGCACACGTACGTATTTTATGGTCATATAAAGGAACATACAATAAAGAAATAATACAATTTTATACAGGGTTAATCGAAGAGTAAAGCAAGCCAAAAGCCAGCTAAATTTCTCATAAAACTCAAGCGCTTTCCCATACTAGGAAAATAAAATGTTGTACTAAATTTCTGTTATTAACTGTGCCATATTGTTTAAATATTACTTATATTTTTTAATTGCTGAAAATTTTTTAAGAAATTTATACACAATGTATATATAAGATATTAATTATTTAATAGCTCCCAATATTACGACGCTCATTGAAATAATATTATCACAGTCTATAATATGTACAATTTAAAACTGCTTTGAAAAAACTTTGATCCGGTGTTGGAGAATATCGGTAAAAAGAAACATACAAAGAAATAAACAAAACACAAAAGTTTTAGATAGTGTTGGAGAATTATGTTTAATGTCATGAATATTACCATCGTCATTCAGTTTTGTATACCGTTTAATACGCACCCTGTGCATAGAGACAAAGCGCGTGAAATTCAATACGAAGGAAGAATGTTGGTCGGAAGGATGACGTAACAGATATGCAATAAGAATGCAGGTCAGGTCTCCCTGCAGCAACTGCAGTGTGCATAAAATGTACTATGAATATGGCAGAAATGAAATGTTAGTAAAATTTTTAGTTTGACACAGTCTTGCCTATACCATAAATTACTGTTGTCCCTGAAAACATATAACATAACTGGAATAGTAATATATATTGTATATTATAAGTATATAGTATAAGTAATAGATAATAAGCATAATTCATAATATAAAAGAAACAGTTAAATTAAGATTTCCTTTTTTTTTTATATAACTTTGTATATTATTTTGCATGCCGTGTTGGCCTTTAAATGATTGTACAATTAGACCATAACCCATCACATGTAATTAAATTAATTGTATAATTGTAACAATTGTTGGTGATCCTAAATAAAATAAAAAAAAATAAGGAATAGTTTACACAGGGGACAGATTAATAAAATTTAATTTGAACGACTTGAAAATATGCCAAGGACTTGAACATTTCAGTAATATCAATTCTAATAAAAAGCTATGGGTTTTACCGTAGACTTATATTAAAATTTCATTAAATTAAAATATTTTAGATCCTTGTATAATGTAATATCTGTTATAATATTTTTTTTTATTTCTTTTTAAATTTAGGGACTTTTATACCATCTAAGTACATGTCAGTCCCATTGTACTCTAAAACCAATCACTCCATTACCTCACATATAGTAATTATGTTGGTATAAAATTAGGGTAGCTATGCTAAACAAATCATACTCTAACAATTATTAAATTCCTTCGGAAAATACACACTATATCATGAGGAGATAAAAACCATCGGTTCAAAAATATCCTTCAAGTCTTATCCCTGACGGATCTAAGTAGCGAACTTTGAAAGGTACAGACGCAGTAGATCTCGGTAGATCGCAGTGGTACAGGTCTAAAGCATTTGAAGATAGCCCAAAAACCTTAATAAAAAAAAAAGCTATATTCTTCAATTTCTAATATCTATACTACTGATAGATACTACTATTGAACTTATTTTTTAAGGTATCTGCAATTGCAAATAACCTAACGGAAAGACTCACTTGTTAGTAAATGCCAATCGTCCCCTCCATATGAACAGTATATCTATACGAACAGCTTTTTTTTTAACTATTCTAATACTGTTGGCCTTTACAACTTCACAGAACTACAGTGGGCGAGTGCAGTTGTCGCTCCAAACCCGCGGAAAAACTTATGGAGAGGCCAACTCTTTCCTGACGGATACGATATATAGTGTGAAGTACCGCTAGGGTTTGGAACTCCGGCTCAGGATTTCGTAACTTCGATCCTCGTTTGAAATGGACGGGGGATCGATTGGACAGGAACAATACGGGTATTAGTATTTACTTTTACCCAGCATAATCGTGACGCGCCAGTCATCATAATTGTAAATAACTATTTACCCATTTGCCTGCAAATAAACCTTTCATTCATCCTTGGAGTAAGAGCCGACTAGGCGTCAGCATCAAGCGTCCATAGGTTACAGTAACCATATACCATTATATGGGCCGTATGCTTGTTTGCTACAGTGGTAGTATAAAAAAACTGTAACAGGTGAATTCGCCACACTACGCTTAACAGTCTGACTACATCCTCATCCTATTATCCACCACTGGTGCCCCGCCAGCATATACCGTTAGCGTAAAGGGATGAACCATTCCATATTCATACAGAAAATTCGATACCAAGCCGCTTAGGTCAGATAGGAATAGTAGGCTAAATCCCCTTGTATGAGACGTATCCGTACCCGGCAATAGCTTGTATAAGGTATTTCTAGGTAAACAGAGAGTAGTTTGATGTTCCTACCCTATTGGATTCGGGTGAATGGGCACCTGAAATATTGCCGTGTACAGTACGGGATATTAATGGATTATCATGATTATACATAAACTACTAAAAGTATACTATTATATTATTTACATCTATACAAATAAATACAATTGAAGTGTCTATTTGTAATTTATAATTAACAGAATTTCATTAAATGCGTATATATTTTTTTCTGTCTGTTCTTGCTAATCTCTGAAACGGCTGGACCGATTTTGACTTCCACTCGCTGTTATAAAAAGTAATTTAGGATACTTGTATTTTGATTTATTCAATTTCCTCAGTAATACCATCCCATACAATCAAACATGTATATAACCGTTTTGTCTGTCCTGGATGCGGCTTAAAATACTTTTTAGTACCTTCTCAGTGACTGCCAACCCAGCATACTCTTCAGACGCCAGACAGTCGCCTTTCAACCAACTTGCTAGGCGCCCAAGCTCGCCGAGCATGTTCGACGGTGACAAAGAACTTAGCGTCATCGCCATCTCCAAGCTAGTTTTTTGAACTTATATCATTCACAACTCTCAAAGCACTTCGATTTATATCCACTCTCAACGCAAAATCCTCAAGTTAACTATAAAATATAATTTACATGCAGTAATTACACAAAACTTCAACAGAATCCCTCTTAAAGCGAGAGAATGAACGACCGAATAAAGTAAAACTTTTCCAATTAAGGTGACCGGCATATGAACGATGGAATACAGCGATTCACCAACACGTCAGGACTTAGGATCGTCGCGGTTGCGACTGATAATATCTCGAGTTCTCGGCTTTATCGTCGAAATATTCGCATGTTTGCACCCCAAACCCATGATCCAACCGATGTTATACTTTATTGTCTCCAATTACGGTCTAGTTCCAAATACCATGGAACAAGAGTGCACCAACAGTGAGCATGCGCGTGAAAGTAAGACAACACGTCTGAATTGTTATATATTAGAAAGAGATAATTTTGTTTTCACACTTCAAGTCATAGGAATGGACACACGTGCTTGTGACGTAATATCGGCAAAGTCGTTATATACAATGTATGATAAATGAATGGTGCACCCACCTGCGCTAACGGTTTACGCTGGCGGGGCACCAGTGGAGCATGATCAGATGAGCATGAAGTCAGGTCAGTTAGTACATCGTGACAAATTCACCAAGGATTCATCACGATGGTTTCCAGGGAGAAACACGTGGAGGTTGACCTAACTGGGAACTAGTAACTCCCATTGCTAGCAATGTACCATACATTGCTAGCAATGGGAGTTACTAGTTCCCATTGCTAACAATCCCCTTCCCCCCAACATTCGAGGTTCGAACCCATGCACTGACCTCAGACTAAAGACGTATCTGTCAGGCAGAAGTTGGCCTTCTCCTCTCTATAAGCCTTCCCTAGGATTTAGAGTGCCGTCTACACTTGCCCACACATTCAATCGGTATAAGCTATAAAGGCCAGTCGCAACGTATAAAAAAAGATAACAAAAAACAATTACACAGAAATATCAATAATACTTCCCAAGCGTGTTGTCGCTGATATGCAAATACTGCAAATGATAACATTATCTATACTATTATTGTACAAGGAGTTACAAATATTTTACAAATATATGACTGGCCCTCGTTAATTATGACTTTGGTTAATGATAAGTTATCAATGTTTGAAGAAAGTGAAGAGAGAACATGACTCAATTCGACACAAATGTATATATAAACAACTTCATAATAGAACTAGTGGTCTTCCCATCAGATTTGCCAATCGTTAAAAAAATAAAGTATACACAAGATTATAAAAAAACATTTAAAGTTGACTACAGGGTGTTACATCATCAAGTCATCAGCCCACTGCAGTCCACTGCTGGACTACGCCTTTCTCAAGGCTCGCCACTGGGTACGATGTTCAGCCCTCTTCGTCCAGTTATTACCCGCTGTCCTATAAATATCGTGGCTCCACTTAGGTGCAGGGAGTCCTACTCTATCTTTGCGAATTTGCACGTATATGACCGCTTACTACCACTTCAACAAATATAGTTTTGTATACATTACGTTAATATTGCCTATAAATAATAAAGATCAGTGTCCCCATTCCTATATATGTACCATGTCAGGTCTATCTACACGATCTGATAAAGTTGTCATGAGGGGCTAACGGACCAGACTACATGCTCATCATGGGCGCAGCCAGCCTTGGGCAGCAGCCTAAAATATTATGTAACTAGCAAACTGTACCCTCAGTCTTTCTTATCAGTCTTTTCGATATTTTTTTATACAAAACCGTTACACCCTATAGCAGCCTGTATCTGTATTATAATTTGGATTATTCAAAACACTTTCATATTGCTCACTTACCTACACCACGGAATCAACTATCGAGTATGAACTGTGTTACGGATATTAACTATCGTAGTTAGTACTTAGATTATTTATTTTTTTACGTTCGTTTAGGTACCTGGTCAGAGTCAGAGTAGGGCAAAAGTCCCACACAGCCCCACCGTGGCTACGCCCATGTATCCTATCCTCCATTGGGCTCCAGTGTATACCGTTACCGCAAGTGACTCTACCATTCCATTCTTATCTACTAAAAACACAGGCGTATATCACTCAGAAATTGTGTACCTCTCAAACATTGAAAGAATTTCTCGTTGTTCCGGAGTTTACTTCCCTCATAACACAAATCGCTCTCTCTTTATAATATCTATTTATTCATCGAAAACAATATAAATTGTGTAGAGATACAGAATCTAAAAAGTATAGTGATCTAAAAAGTAAATTCTGTTATTTTTGTTATGTCAGCAAGTATAGCGCGATAGGTCATGTAAAATCTTTAAGGCAATCATTGTAATGTAGCGCGATGGTTATCACCTCACCACTGTAGGGTTATATATGACGTGATGAGGTGGCGCTATATAATTTATTGTTTATTGTAGTATGTAAGTAGTTGGAATAATCATACTATTTATTGTACATTAGTAAATTTATTGATAGTAAGCTACATGGTTTATTAGTAACGCGTACATTCGACACGGCGTCGTAACGTGGACTGACTTTACACTAAACTTAAATCTATGTTGTGTGGTTATGTAAACTAACGGAAGGGTGTCGAGTGTTGACAGAAATATTACAAGTGTAGGCACAGTAATAATCATCTAAAGAATAGTAACACTTATTCAATAAAAATGTCCTCAATCTATTATATATTAACAGTGTCACATTATTATTGCCTGTGTTTTACTTTCAATATGTTTAGAGCAGAGGTTCCCAAACTTTTTTGTGCCGTAGACTTGCAGTTTGTCATAGACCCCTAGGGATTGATATAGATCACTTTGGGAAACACTGGTTTAGAGTAATTTTGAAAACATACTTTCATTATTATGTGCAGAAACACTATTACAACAGTGATTTTCACTAATGGCCGCATGAAAACTGAAATATGTTTGCCCTTATTAGGTGATTTGGCTTATATGAAGGAGTAATAACAAGAACAAGACATGTATGAAAAGGAGTCATTCATAAGTTACGTAACGTATTAAGTGAAATATTTTGTGACATGGGGTGAGGGGTCATAAATTATGTCACACATTAAGGGGAGGTGCTGCGGTCGATGAAGTGTGACTAGGGGTGGGAGGGTCATAGGTTATGTGATATATTATGTAAAATATTTTGTGGCAAGGGGTGGGGGTCATACATTATGTCACATGTTAAGGAAAGGTGCAGCAGTCAATGAAGTGTGACATTATGTGACAAGTGCTGGGAGAAGTCATAAATTATGTCACATATTAAGAGGTGCGCCGGTGAATAAGTGTGGCATTGTATGACAAGTGCTGGGGGAAGTCATAAATTATGTTACATATTAAGTGAAATATTTTATGACAAAGGGTGAGGGGTCATAAGTTATATCACAAAATAAAGGGATGTGCACCATCAATGAAGTGTGACATTCTGTGAGAAGAGGAGTCATAAATTTAGAGATGTAAATTTACATAATAAATTTTGAATTACATTCATTATTTTTTAATAGATAATAGAACTAATTTCATAACAGCTATTTATTTGTCTATTTAATCATTCCTAGATATACAATGTGTGACATATAACAATGATAAGGGAGAGAGAGATAAAAAATCACTTTATATGACATTATTTATGTCATATATTCATCATTATAACACTATATGAAAAAATGAGAAACAATACAAGAGACAATATACTATATGTAACTAATAAAAAAAATACTTAAATTTTATGTTCTTTTGTTTTATAAGTTTCTTTTCTTTTACCATTTCATTTCTTCACCCTTCTGTGCAGTGATTTACTAAAGTGGATACAACTTTACCTACATAAATAATTAAAAAAAGACCTAAATAACAGATCACATTATAAAGGTCCCAAAGGTCATTGGCTGCAATTAACAAGTGTTAGTTGAACTCCATCTTCCATAGTCAGCCTCTCATCTGGGCCATTGTATATATCAATTAGCAAGTGATAGATGATAGATAGAAACACATGGAGAAGAATATATTATTACAAAGATTGATAAATTGGCAATATTTATTGTATCAACTTAATTTTTTTCAGTTACCACTTTACCTAAATGCCATTTTATTTAAATGCTGTAAAGTTAGTAATTTATTTTATGCCAACTGCAGAAAGATTTACAACAAACTGCCAGTCTGTTCTAAATCTAATTGAAAAAAGATTTGAATGTCATATAACATTTTCTTTGTAAAAACACTTATTATAAAATTGAAGATTTTATAAATAATAAAAAAATTTTTGTACAAAAAAATTATACTAACTGACTGCACAAAAAATGAGTGCAGTTTCTATGTTGATTACATCTCCTATTTCTCATTGTGTATTTATTTAAAATAGCATTTATTTATAGTCTCTTACAATTTTTAGCTTTCTCTTTGTTATATTAATTTTATATTAAAAGAAAATTAAATACTGGCTGAACTATTGTGACTGATAGTATGTAATTAATAATAATGTCTATGGCTCATGACTATTAATCAAGCTCAAGCATGTCAAAGTAAAACTTTGAAAACTTGTGATAATAACACTTCATTTACAATTATATTATATTTTTTAATTATATAATTGCTACAGCTAAAGTGTGATCACTTAGAAGTATATTTTCAGAACATATTCTAATGTGACAATTTTTAAGTAGAGCAGAAAAATATAATAAAGTCATAAACAAAAATAAGTAAACTGATACTGAAGAACTTTTCCTAACATTATAATCGAGTTATATACTTGTAACAATTACATAGTATGCTCTCTTAATTCTCAACGATTGTGATAACAATACGAAATAATTGCGAAAAGTGAACAATATGCCAAGATACTTTCGAAAAAAAATTTTGCTGTTGTAAGATCATTTCCATTGATACAGCATAATGTAATATTTCATCGTTGCATTATTGTGATAAACAATCATTTGTACTTACCTTAGGAGTTTTAATGATATCCATAACAAAAACCAAACAGTCGCAGACAAAAATCGATAAAATAACCAAATCAGTCCAGTTCACATATGTATGGTCATAAAATAGTCACACTATAGAATTACTGATAGAAAGAAGTCACACCTATTAGTTCACAGAATTAGAAAGCACCCGAAAATTCAAGAAAACACTATCTGAATTATAGAAATATTAGAAAAATATAAATATCAACAGAGAAGAAGAAATAATCAAAGCAAAAACTTTTGCAAGTAGATACTGATCTACCTATATTGTTTCTTTGACAGGTGTCATTGACATGACATCAGTATCAGTCTATCTCATTGTCATTATTTTGTCAGTTACTACAATTATTAATCTGTATTTTTTAGTTTCTCTAATCTTTTAAAATAACCTATGGTTAATGTCATTCAATATTCTTTCAATCATTGTTTGTGAATTTCAGTGTTTCATGCAAATTTGTGTCATAAAGTTCATAAACTCATCATTATTTCGTTTCGATAACTACACTGGAATATATTCCTCCTTACGTTATTTAACTGAATTGTAAAGTGTTTAAATTAATAGCCATGACTTCTGCAATGTCTGATGATAGAAATGAAGAGCGTCGCCGTAGGGTGAGTTTTGACTAAAATGTTTGCGGTTTCCAGAAGCAAATTTGGTGATTCATTCTTGTTGTGGTGTATTTTGCGTTGTTATATCTAACTTACAAAATACCAATTTACCTTATTTATGTAATAGGTAGTAGGTCTGATTGTAATATTGAAGTAAAATCATTATTTTGTAAATTAGATATTTATTTATTTCTAATTTTTGTACTGATGGTAATGTTTAAGTTGGTTTTGTTTATTAATATTTCCAAAAGACTCTACGTTCCTCTGTCCAACGTAACGTATATTAGATAGCCTCAATACAAATTAAAGAAACATGATAACAGAAACATTGAAAGTAATATTATTCTTTCTTTTGTCATGGTTTTATTTGTCTGTTTATTGTAATATTTATATTAGTAATGTTACCATTGATCAGATCAACTCTATTCCTGCTTTATTTTATTTATTTTTATTTAAACTCATTATTGCTCCAGACAAAGAAAACACACAAAATGTTATATTACATACACTGGTACAAAAAGCGGTCTTATCGCTAAGCAATCTTTTCCAGACTAACAGTAGAGAAAGTAACATTAAGATAAGAAAAGGGTAGTAACTTTATATTGATTGTTACACAGAAAAAAACCATAATAAAACTAAATAAAAGTTTAAGTAAGTAATAATTATTTTACTAATATTTATAATGATAGATAAATGTTTGTAATAAAGTATTTTAAAAAATACTTATATGAACACCATTTTCTGCTAAACTGTAGTTCTTTATTAATATGTTACATTTTGTGTACCTTCAATGTAAAGACATAAAATTTAATGTTTAATAGTTTGTCACTTCACCACATCTGCTAGATAGATTCAAACTAAATGCACAAACATTTACATATACAATAAAATTTTACCCAAATCCAGGCCAGCATTGTCATAGGATACAGCTAGTAATGTATATTGTTTGCAGGTACTGCTTGGCCCTCTTCCAGCAGGATTCCTTCGCACAGATGGCACTACAGACAGTGTTGATGCTGATTATCAAGCAGCCCTCGCGCTGCAGCAACAGCTGTGTGGCAACACGGTATGTAACATAGTTTACTATTATTTCTTTTTATTTATTTATTTAACTTCAATGCACAAAAATAATGTGTACATAGTCTTTTTTAAGTAATAAGGACCTGGGTTTTCTATAAAATGTATGTTAACATGTATTTTTTTTATAATAAACTGACAGATTTTGAGATCTGACTAATTTATTTTGTTACTCAAATAACTAATATTTATTTATATTTTTATCAACTTTATAATTTGGCAGTTTGTATTCACGTAAAATTGCAATTCTGAACAACATTTTTTAAAATAGCAACAGCCAAGTGTTATTTGAATTTAGATTGTTTATTTGAATATATATTATGTCTTTACTATTCTATGGTCCTTACCATTCAAGAAATTAGAACAGCAAGAATTTGAACATTTTTGTACTTAACATTTTTTTTTAATTTTATCTCTGTTATTTGCTACTACTGTACTAATGTGTTTATATTAAATATATTTGAATATAGATTATTTCCTTTATATTCTATGGTGCTTACCATTCAAGAAATTAAAACGGCAAGAAGTTCAACTGTAATATTTTTTTCAAATTATATCACTGTTATTTGCATTTGTATAATAATAATAAAGCCTTTATTTACTGTTATCTTTACAAATGTATATATGAGTTTAGGCAGTAACTGTGGTCCTGTTAGTCTATATATATATATTTTTTTTATTTTTCCCACATCTAAATGTGAACAGTCTGTCATGTGACATAGGCCTCCTCTAAGCATTTCCAAAGTGTTCGTCATGAGTCCAAACTTTCCCTGCTACTTTCCTAATGTCATCTTCCCATCTTTTGGCCTGTCTGCCTCTGCTTCTTTTGTGTCCTCTTGGGTACCACTCTGTAATGTCTTTTGTCCATTTAGGTATCTTTTCCCTAATCATGCGGCCTTTGCATTTGTACTAATGTGCTTATATTAAGTTTATTTAACTATAGATTATTCTCTTCTATTCTTTATTCTATGGTGCTTACCATACAATAAATTAAAACAGCAAGTAATTAATATGTAACATTTTATTTTTATGTTTATGTCACTGGTATTTACATTTGTACTATTTATACAAACAGGATACAGATATATAACAATATAAATAAAATAAAAAAATAATATTATTATGCCCTGTTTATAATATGGGCATTTATAGTGCTGGCCCATGTTGTAGCAGTTTTGCACACCACCTACCTTCCCACAGTGTATTCATTATCTGGCATGGTGTTTACAATTATGTTCATGAATATGATTGTTTCTATTCATGTTGGTGTTTTTTGATAATACTAGCTATATAGCTCTAGCATACTATATAGCTAGAATACTATAAAAAAAATATCAAAACAATAGAAAAAAATTGGAAGATGAAACTGTAATGTTTGAATTGCATTCTTTAAAAATCCATAATATAGGAAATCCCATGCTATGATCTCCAGAGGAAATATCAATTTGATCACAGTTTCATTGTTTTTAGGATACACATGATATTATTAATATAGTTAAACGGGTTTTAACACGAATAATTTTATGGTAAATGAACCTCCCTCGACATTTCGAGTAGATTGCACTAGCCGTGGTCAAGTGCTGACTGAGCAGTATATTTTGTTGTATTTGCCATAAAATTACTAATGTTAAAACGCCTTTGACTATATAACAATGTGTACTAAACGCGAAAGTTAAAAAATAAGTGAGCACATGATATTTTCTTTCTGTATTTACATTCTTTATCATCATCATCTGCTTTTCCCTTATCCCATTTATTATGGATTCGGCGTAAAATGTTTTTCTCTTCCATTCATCCCTGTTCGCAGTCATATCGACTCCCTTTTTTACAATATCTTTCACACAGTCCATCCATCTCCTTTTCGGTCTTTCTCTGCCATTATAACCATCCACATTCATATATAACACTGTCCTTAATGTATATATTTATTTTACAATAGTTACAAAGATATATGTTTTATACATAAATTTATGATATATTATTAAACAACATATTTAATTTTTTTTGACATCTTTTTTATATTCTTTATGTATTATCGATAAATTACTTTGTGTTATATACATATTAATAAACAAACTAATAATTTCTTATCTCACTGCATGATTAGCAGCAATGTCTATCTTTAATTAGGTCTATTGTAATTATGATTGAGTTGAGCCAATAAGACCACAATGATAACAGACACATGGACAGTGTCATTTGTTATTGTATTTAGTATGTGATTGCAACATGTACGGACGTCCCAGACTTGTGGTTAGGACGTATTCGAGGCATATTGTATGTATATTAAAATTTATTTTATTAATTCTTTATCTATATTAATACTAGCTGATCCGGCAAACGTTGTTTTACCATATAAATTAATATCGATATTAAAAAATACAGGTTTGTGATAGAAGGGTGAAAATTTAGGGTTGTATGTATTATGTTAAGGGTGGACAACCATTATCATTTTAGTGGTATGAAAAATAGATAGTAGCCGATTCTGAGACCTACTGAATATGCATATAAAATTTCATAAAAATTGGTCGAGCTGTTTCGGAGGAGTATGGTAACTAACATTGTGACACGAGAATTTTATATATAAGATTTCCTTTGTTCGTTTTATTTTCCTGATTGACTAAAAACTACGAGTCATTATAACAAAAAGTACGTAACTTTAATAAATAAATAAATTAAAATATATATATGTTGACCATAATCCTATACACCGAAAACTAACAAAAAATATTCGTATTCAGTAGGTCTGAGAAACAGCTACTATCTTTTTTTCATATCCCTAAGTGATAAGGGTTTTTTTTTTTGGGTTGATAATGGAATGGTGCAACCGCCTGCGCTAACGGTTTACGCTAGCGGAGCACCAGTGGAGGATGATAAGATGAGCATGAGGTCAGGTCAGTTAGCCCATCGTGCAAATTCATCAGGAATTTAACACGATGGTTTCCAGGGGGAACCGCGTGGAGGTCGACCTGACATGGTACATTGCTAGCAATGGGGTTATCAATCCACATTACTAACAATCCTCTTCCCCCCAAGTGATGAGGGTTGTCCATCCCTTATCATTTCTTTTTAGTTTTTGGTCTATTTTATTTTTATGTAATGTGGTAAATGATAAATGAATAGTAGGGGGAAGGGGATTGTTAGTAATGTGGACTCATGACCTCATTACTAGCAATGTACTATGTCAGGTTGAACCTCCACGCGGTTCCCCCTGGAAACCATCGTGATAAATTTATGGCGTACCACGATGGACTAACTGACCTGAGCTCATGCTCATCTTGTCATCCTCCACTGGTGCCCCGCCAGCGTAAATCGTTAGCGCAGGCGGGTGAACCATCCCACTATCATTCACAAAAAAAATTAATAGAAAGGGTGATAAATGAATACAACCCAAAATTTTCACCCCTCTAATTTTAAAAACAATATTAGTAATAAATTTATATGGCAATACAACGTTTGCCGGGACAGCTAGTTAAATATAAATTATTGTTATTCCAAATACTAAAGAAACGATGTCGCAGGTCCAACTATTTTCAAAATAATAATAATATTTATACAAAAAAGTGAGCTTATTGCCTTATGGTGTTCTCTACTAGCTTAACCTTTAGGCATGTGAATTTCCCATTAAGCTTTAATGTGAGTGAAGCATGATATGTACTGACATTAATTGATTCATTATTTATTTATGTACAGCTGCCAGCAGCCGGGCCGCCTCTCACGGCAAGATTAAGCGTTACGATAGCACAGGCGAAACTTGTTAAGAACTATGGTTAGTACTACAATAATATTTTTTAATGGTCATATGATATGACGGCCTCGGTGGGCTAGTTATTTAGCACATCGCTTTACTTCGGATGGTCGCGGGTTGGATTCCTCGCACGGTGCAAACATTTGTATTCATAAATGTGTTTTTTGTAACCTTCTGAGTGTTTTCTATGTATAGTATGTATGTAATAAAAATAAGTAATTCTATTGAGTTTATTGCTAGTTCTTCTCAATTAGATCTATATACTTAACTGGACGGTAGGGAAAAATTATAATATAAAAAATTTGACGTTCATAAGCGGCTAAAATGTCCTACATGATAAATTATTTTTTAATTTGAATGCATTTACAAAAAAAGCATCGAAGTATTTATGTCCGTTGTCTAGTACCCTAGTCTACCCTAACACAATCTCTGCTTACCGTGGGACTAGATGGCGCAGTTATTGATTATTATTATTATAAACATTTGCATTGGTCTGGGTGCTTTCTGTGTAGGAATGTTTTTTTATACTACGAAGTTGGCAAACAAGTATACGGCCTATATGATGGTAAATGGTTACCGTAGCCTGTAGACGCCGAAATACCACTATGCGAAACACACTACACGAGGTGTCACATGTGCTTTGCCGATACTTTTGAAATTTTCATATACCAAAAACAAAAAAAACTCCATCTACCTCAAACATTGATATTAATATGGATAACCCTTATTTTTTTTTGTTCCAATAAGTAATTTATTTGTTTAAACGTGTTGGTAATTTTGATTAAGATTTAGTTAAATATAAATAGTTTCTTCTATCAATCATGTATCGATTTTTGAGGCACAAATTTGTATGGTAAGTTTTTATACAACTTCAAAATGGAAGTGTTAAATGATTGTTGATTCTTGTATAAATATAAGAAATTGTTACATTTAAAAATATATTTGGTTTTAATGAATCAAGTTTCTATCTATTTATCGTACTATCCTTTAAACCGTCCTTATACTTATAGGAAGTATATGTTTTCTCTCTCTGTAAAAATAATAAAACGCTAGTTCTGTTTTTCTGCTTAAAAACAAATCCTAGGATTCGGGGAATATCCATATTATTCTATCATATGGGAAGTACATAAAATAGCTCTACCTATGGTGATAATTTAATGGTACTCCTGCCTTCGATAACAGTATAAGTACAGCATAGCTTGGGACTAGATGGCGCTTTGTGGATTGTCCAGGATTATTACTATTATTATAAAGTAATTTTTGCCGCCTTATTTTATTCCAGGACTCACTAGAATGGATCCATACGTACGTATGCGTGTCGGTCACTGCATATACGAGACCCACACAGACCCCAGCGGTGGGAAGACACCGAGGTGGAACAAAGTCGTTCATTGGTAAGTATTCTCCACACTAATCATTAGATTAATACGTGAAGTAAGACAGGGTACGAAGAAGAAATTTGTCCTTTTTACGAAAATTGCGCGAGTCGTGGTGTGTGTTTCGTACATATTATAGTTTATACAGAGAAGGAGGAGTACAGAATGCTATTTTTTTTTAATTAGGCTCAAAAAATAATGGTACATCAATAAAAAAAACATTATATTGCACAACTGATAACAAAATGTAATTAACAAAATAATATAATATATGAAGCAAGTCTTTGAATAGATTTTAAATTTATTCATGTAGTATATTTTAGCCGCTTATGAACGTCAATTTTTTTATATATATTTTTTTCCCTACCGTTCAGTTTGGTATATAGATCCAATTGAGAACTGGCAAGAAACTCAATTGAATATTTTATTTATTTATTTTTAAAAGCCAGTTTACATATAATTTGAATACATAACAAATTGGTCATTGTACCTATCTCATAATAAATTATATTATGGGGACGTAATTATGACTCAAATACATATTACTATTAGTCATAAATGTATAGAGGAGTTTCAAGTGATAAAAAAAATATATTCACTCGCGATTTGTTGTTATCATAATATTTTGCTAGATTACAGATGATATGAATCATTGTTAATACAAAATTGAAGAGTTCAATGAATTATCACTCGCATTATTATGGAAACACTTTCTACTTTCGAGGGCTTCTCCCACGTATCATGAGTCAAATATCGAATAGCAATTTACTCTTTACAGCAACAGACAGGCTCAATGGGCTATCAGATACTTATTTATGGTGGTCATGGGTTTGAGAGAACAAATAATTTACCCATGTACAGAAAATATGGAATAATGTCTGTTACCCAGGACTTTTTTAAAAATAAAATATAGATAGGGATTGTCATCGAGATGTATCATGTTTATCTGTTCCTATATAACTTCGACTTGAATCTTATATATAAAATTCTCGTGTCACAGTTTTCGTTCCCATACTCCTCCGAAAGAGCTTGACCGATTCTCATGAAATTTTGTGAGCGTATTGAGTAGGTCTGAGAGTCGGCCAACATCTATTTTTCATCCCTCTAAATATTAGGGGTAGTCCATCTCTAATTTTTTTTATCATTTTAAGGCAAAACAACGTTTGCCGGGACAGCTAGTAATTCTATAAACTTATAGAGTTATTGAAAATTTATTAATTTTAGTGTGGACTAATAACTCCTTTACTAGTAATGTACCATGTCAAGTTGAGCTCTCTCCAGTTCCTCCTGGAAACCATCCTGGTAAATTGCCAAATGCCAAGATGGGCATGATGTCGGGTCATTTAGACCCGACATCATACTCATCTTATCATCCTCCACTGGTGCCCCACCAGCATAAATCGTTGTCGCACCATTCCATTATGATCCATAAAAAAAAATATATTATTTAATTTATTTTTCGATTAACCGTTTCAATAATTTGCAGTCTATTACCGCCCGGAGTGAACTCCATGTATTTGGAAATTTTTGACGAGTGCTCCTTCACAATGGACGAGCTGATTGCGTGGGTGCACATCACTATACCGCCAGCGGTGTTAAATGTGAGTGTTTAATACTAAAAGTGATAAGTGAATCATGTTATCATGCGACGCCCGTGATATCTCCAAAACGTGTTGTGCTTATTTGGTTTATTTGTTCTCTATGTAGAGAAGTGACTGCATGGATGTTATACATTGTTAATAACCCGTTATTAACAATGTATAACATCCAACAACATATTAACGGGGCCTGGGGGTCCCTACCCCCATGCCCCGTTAATATAAGTCCTTCCGCGGGTTTAGAGTGCCATCTGCACTTGGCCCCTATCGTCCGGTGTAGCTATAAAGGCCACCTGCGACTAACAGAATTAGAGTAGTCCAAAAAAAAACCGCTAGCGTTAAGGATTTACGCTATCATCCTCCACTAGTGCCCCGCCAGCTTCTGTTATCTAATCGTTACTGACATATTGTATTAAAATAAATATGATATCTATTTCAATATTTGCATTGCATGTACTTTTATTATATATTAAGATACAAAACTACATATATTAAGGGACCATATAGCAAGCAAATAAATAAATATTAGCAATAGCTGTTTCCCATGCCATTATCATCCTTTAAGAAACGGTTGCTACTTTCTATCAGGACAATAAATGAAATAAATGTATTAATTACAGGGAGAGACGCACGAAGACTGGTATCCGCTGAATGGGAAACAAGGAGACGGTGTGGAAGGCATGATCAATCTAGTGCTGAGTTATTCTGTAAGTATACATTAAAAAATGTATAATAAAATATTTTCATGACCCACAGATGTCCCAACCTCGCGTGCGATCGATCCGCATTCTAATTCAAACGATCGTAATTACGAAGGTCTAAGCAGAGGTTCGAACTCCTAGCGATGCTCTCAGACTAATTTTATCCGTCAAGCAGGAGTTGGCCTTCAGCCGCTCCATATTTGCTTAGTGGTAGGATTTAAGTGAAACGACCCACGCTCACGACTTATACGAGTACAATCATTAATATCTCCCTCTGGTCTGGTATTTTTAAAGTCAAAAGTAATTAATATGTATAAGTAACATCTTATGCTACGTTTACATTCAGCCGCTTCTCCTGCCACGCACGCTGCCGGAAATATTGTCGGGTGACAACTTAGCGAGAGGGCTGAATGTAAAAACACGCTGCCACTCGCGCTGCCAGTTCTTTCCCTCGTGCACGAAAAACCGACAATCGAGGAAGTGTTTCCACTCGCGTTTACACTCTCGCGCTGCTCACTTCCCTGCCCACTTGGGCTGAGTGTAAATTGGGCATTATAGATTATTTTATTGTGTTGTTTTGAGTGCCCTCGGCAGTCGCCCTTTGTCGTTCGGTGAAGCTGTAAAGGTCAGCTGTGGCCAACAGCATTAGAATAGTTCGAAAAAAAAACATAGATTGGGTATGACTGAGTTATTACCAACTAAGGGTAAAAATTTGTGTAATTGGTAGTTGTTTAATTTATGAGTGGCTCCTTAATTAGTATAATATTAGCATAATTATCGAGAAATCTATCCACAGATGCGCAACCATACCAACTCCGCACCAGTGTCATATCCTGTGAATAGACGGGTAGTATGTACATTGAATTTGAATAATGTTTGTGACGTTATTTCTAGCAATTGTACATGTTATATGACGGATTCAGTAGTTTTGTGGTTTAGCATCAGCCTTTATTTCCAATGGTCCCGGGTGTGATTCCTCGCACGGTACAAACATTTGTATTCATGAATATGATTGTTTGTATCGGTCTGGATATTTTCTACGTATATTAAGTGTATTTACAGAAAAAATATCTAAGTATTTATATCAGTTGTCTAGTATCCATAACATAAGCTCAAGCAAATCTAAACAAGATTGGGACTAGATGGCGTTGTTTGGTTGGTTGATAGTATCTTCCCCAATGTTAAATGATTTGTGGTCGAATTTCGACAACAATTTACTATAACCACTAGTTATGGTAAGTATCTTTTTTTTATAATATGTACAATTGTAAAGGTCAATGAAAAAAGTTTAAAACAATGTTTGTCTAATAATGGTAATGGGTTTTGTATGGTAAATTAGTTCATCATCAACAACAGTATATGACTTCGCGAAATGAAGCCGCGACCGTGGGAATCCCTATGGTGGTTCCGGGTTCAGTCCCGCATATTACAGACATATGTATCCGTGGGTGTATGTTTGGGTATATGGGTGTTTTTCTATATGTTGCTTATTTATTTATAAAATAAATTTTATCTGTTTAATTTAATTTTACTTGTTCTTCGTTTTGCTCGGTACCTAAAGATTATAGCGTGTGCAGAATGTAACGCAGTTAGCGTAGCCTTCCACAAGAGACGGTATTTTTTCAATTCCAACATATAGTTTCAGATATTAGCGTACAGAAACGAACAAATTCTTCAGCTGAGTATAGGGATAGTCATGAACTTAAGTGGTATCGTCGTCGTTGATTTTTGATTGTAATGATTTACTGATATTTTCTTTGATTTTGACTGAGATTGACTTCCCCCACTGAGTTATAGTCCGTTTTTTCTCAATTAATAATCCCCTTACATTTTATTATAACCAGAAATTTATTATTTTAAACATATAATGATTATTGTATTTATAAATTTAATAATAATTATTCAATATAGATGGATACACGACACGATCAGTTTCATTTTTATTGTATGTATACATTTAACTGCGGAAGTTACCTGTTTTCGACGGCCTCGGTGGTCTAACGGTTTAGCACACCGGCTTACTTCTAATAAGTTCGATTCCTTGCACGGTACAAACAATTATATTCATGAATATGATTGTATTATGTGTTCACAAAAATATATCTATGTATTCATATCAGTTGTCTAGTACCCACAACACAAATTCTGCTTAGCTTGGGATGGCGCTCTATGTATTGTCGAGATATTATTTGCTGTGTTTTTAAATTATATGTGTTTGAACATTAAAGGTGGGCCCAGCAGCGGTAGCGGCGTTCCCCCCGGTCCTCGTAGTGCCCAGCACTGGTATGGGGTACGCGACGATGCCAATGTACCCCGCGCAGCACGCGTATCCCCCACCTAACCAGATACAGCAAGCGCATCCGCAACCACAACAGCAACAGGTGCAGCAACCGCCCATCACTGCGGAACAGTTGCAGCAGGTAAATACAGTCATCTTTTTATAGGCTTCAAAAAATACTAGTAAAGCTTTGTGATAAACAACGATGCCAATGTACCCCCCACCTAACCAGCTATAACAAGCGACCGTAACAGCTGCAGTTGCAGCAGGTATCATATTTTTAAACCATTTCAATAAAGATTTAACAAGGGTACGCGACTATGCTGATGTACCCCGCGCAGTAAGTGTACCCCCCTCCGAACCGTATCGTCATTGCTATAATTTTATTTTTGCAGATCGAAGAGATGTTCCCAAGCATCGATAAGGAGGTGATAAAGTCAGTGTTGGAAGCGAATCACGGCAACAAGGACGCTACCATCAACTCGCTGCTACAAATGTCCGAGTAACATCATCAACGGAGAATTTCAATATTAAAGTGGACATTTAAACTTATATAGCTTTTACGAGGTAGTATGACATTTCAGTATCTTTCATTATGTTACTGTGTAAATTTATAAAGAAAATACTATTTGTTTATAGTTATTTATTCAGATATTTGACCACAAAACAAGCATATAATACTCAATAATTAATAATTACCTATTTTTAACACCGGTATTAAGGGCACTATAAAACTGGATATAAAAATATAATATTTTATAATCACGATTTTTTTGGCAACACAATCTGTCCATGGACTTTTTATAATTATAAAAAAATAAAATCTGAAAATGTTCTAAACAATTAGAAAATAATTTCTTTCTGAATTGTTTAAAATATTTTCAGTTCTAATTTTACATTTTATTATTTTTTCTATTTGGTTGCCGAATAGGCACAACTACAACAACACACAACACTATGCTTCCAAGCTATATCCGAGTTCTTTTCGTTGCCTGATGATGACTCGTTCAGAGAATTAACACGTGTCGCAAAATGGGTGTAAATCTAACATCGACCGGAGCCGGATCGGATTTGATCACTAATAGATATGTTGGTAATGCTTCCAGTAGCGGTGGTCAGGTTTCCGCACTGAAAAGTTGTGGTCTCATGCGGAATTAGACAAAATAATTCTGAATAAAATGGACTTGCAAAATAACACCAAATTCCATAAAATATGTATTTGTAATTGGATAAGACACTGAAATGTCGTGTACAGTCCGGCCGCTCAGAGGTTTCGTTTCTGACAGGTCGGGATCACTTTATACATTGGTCGGGATACAATTTACGGCAAAATTTTAAATATATCTTATTTGCATTATTAACGTGTATTAACTTTTAAAAAAATATATTATTCCAACTGACCAATAAACGTATTAATTTTGGGCTATTCTAAATTCTATTTAGGTTATCCCAACTGTTTGTTTTTGTAGTGATGTGATCAATTAAACCTTGTAACAGCGCAGATTGATGTGGTTTGACTAAAAACTATGTGCGTACGACATTCATAGTTACATCGCCTATTCGATCCCGATCTGTTCGAAATGCAAACTCTGAGCGGCCGGACTCCATCTCAAGTATTATAAGCTAATTAGCCTTATTCTTGTCTATCACAAGCTTGATATAAAAGCGTTATTGTATATCATTTAAAATATGTACAGAAAATGCATTTTATCTAAAAGTATTTAAATCTATTAAATATAATATTAATAAATATTAAATCGATAATATAGTCTACACATCAGTATATAGACGTCGTATCTCATTTTGTTTTATAATTTGACGAATTATTTTAGTAGTTTCGTATTAGGTGTTGATTGGATAGTAAATTTGGTTCTTGACAAGGTAATATATACTTTGTGCGTTACGGTATACAGCAGAGATTCGCGGTCACGTCGGAAGCCATATTAGGAAAAGTAAAAAAACTTTATTTCATTTATTCAATATTTCGACTACTTTTACACATGTCAAGTGATGACTATCCCAATGGGATAATAGTCGTAATTGTATTTTTTTTATTGTGTAATCATAGTTTTACCTGAAATGGTGTCATAAATAAAGTTCAGTAAAATAAATTTGTACCATGTTACAAAAAATGGAAAATGAATGAGGAAAGGGAATGAATGAGGTTTGAAACGCCTTGTACTCGGTAATCTGCCTTTTAATTGTGACGCTATTAAAAAGCAGGTATGATGAAAAGTTTAATATTCATTTTAAACTTTAACATCTACGAAATAGAACATATTTTTAGTGAATATTTTTTGTTTGCTCAAAATCGACCGTTTGTTTTAACTATTGGCGACACCAAACACTAGTTTATAATTGTTATTCCATTATATATTTAGTATAGTTTATATTGTTATGGTAGAGATTATTTAACAAGGCAAATGATCAGAAATATTTAAATCGACAGTCAATAGACAAAGTGATTTTTTGAAATTATATCCTAATGATATAAGCAGACATGGCTCTATGGGGCACCGTACCCGTTGCCATTGCTTTAAATGATAAACTGTGACAACAAAGAAATCATAACGATTATCTTATTCGTTTGTGAACTGTTTATATATACAGACAGACATAAATAGGAAATAGACTTGTTAATCTTTTCATATAACTGTATTTTAGTCACGGATTAAAAAGTAAAATATGCAGTATTTTTTGGCAATTTTGACAGTTTCTAGTGTTTGCTTGTATGCCATCATCGTAGTATTAAAAAAAGTTATGTAAAGAAGTTATTACATTTCTTCTTCAGGATACGGCGATATCGGAAATTTTACTTTGTCTACAGATTTTAAAAGGTTTAAATATTGGTGATTGCTTGTCTTCAAGTTACGTTACGGGCAGTTTTTAAACGCAACATATTTCTGCCCATATTATATCGCGTAAAACGTTTCCATGTAAACTGTTATATGGTTTTTACGCTGAATTCAGAATAATTATGCATAAGTATGTATCAAAACATAATATCTTCAGCACTATAAATTTACAAGCTATTGCTTGCGAACATAAAAACTCTTGTCCCATGCGTTGTTAAGTTGAAAATTTAAAAAATACATCAGAATTAATGTTAATGGAGATACGTTAGACTACTAAAGAAATTATCTATGTAAAATGTATTTTTTATCTGCAGGCGGCGTAAAAACTTGTTTTGTAAACTATACAGAAACTAGGTGGCCAGTGAGTTATTAGAGAATGTCCCCAATGTAAAATGCATTGCATATCCAATTCCGCCATTTATTTTTCTTTTTTTTATGTTCGAGGATTATGTATAGAACAGTTTATATGCGGTTTTATTTTCTACCAATTTTGTACATTTATACAAATATAAATTTATGTATAAAATATACATATGTCATTTTGATAAAAACTTACTATTTTACTGCTTTTGAATCATATATTAATATTTTCGTTATGTAAAATGTATTGTACAGTTTATGTAACTTTTAGGCTAAAGGCTCAATAGCTAAAGTCCTAAATTTAAAAATGTCTCTGGTAAAGGTGCTATACTAATGGCCACCTAGTGCTGTGTAGTAATTTGGCACGTAGTTAATAGTAAAGCTAGCGTTGGTATGTAGATTCACCAGCTTATCGGATGTAGACGGTACCTATCGGATAATTATTAAAATAATGTTAATTATAAGTGTTGTACTTTGTGATTATCTTGAACTTCTGTTAGAATAGTATAATTTTAATTTGCCATTTCTTGATGTAATAGGTATATTAATATTTATAAACATATTTCTGCAATCATTTGCATTCTTGTCAATTGTTTGACACTCATTTTGTATGTAATGCTAAAATAATATATCTTATATTATCTTGTAAGGAAATACCAATTGGCAGTACATATAAAACATTGGATACATCCAAAAATTATAAAATGTTTTCTGCAATCATTTGCAAATTTCGTGTCAACTGTTCATACATTGGTTTTGCACAAATCAGAATTTTTATATCCGATAATTTGATAAAATAAAAAAAAATATGGTACATATTTAGAGAAAAGAGATTAGGATAATGGACACTCCATACCATACTTAATATTAATTTTAATAACATTACCAATTGGAGCACATGTTTATTTTTTTTATCATTTTGTTCTCCGAGAGAATACAGGTAAATCAAGATAATCACTCAAGTAGACACAATACGAGCGTACCCAATCAGCTTCTCGGCTAAATTTGTGCCAAATGATTTGCCATCGATAATCTTTGCTTAAAAATTATAAACAAATTATTATTGTTATATTTATTTGTAATTTTACAATGTATAAATATAAATTATTATCAACTTTAATATTGGTGTTTTATTTTTTATTTATTACATGTAGCAAATTGCTTTATGCTACAATTTTCTTTTATACTACTATTGTGGCAAACAGGTATACGGCCCGTCTGATGGTAAATGGTTACCGTAGCCTATGGACGCCTGAAACACCAGGGGTGTCACGTGCGCGATGCCGACCCTTAAGAAACCTTAATATACCCTTCTTGAAGAACCCCATGCTGTAGTCTCGTGAGAAAACCTCGGCAGGAAGTTTATTTCACAACCTAAGAGTACGCCGGAGGAAGCTCCTCTGAAACCGCGCTGTTCGAGACCACTTAGGTTCCAGCGTGTGGGAATGAATTCCCTGTCGATGGCGAGCGGTGCGATGGTAAATGGCCGTAGGCATCATGTCGAACAATTCAAATAATGCTAATTATATCTATTAAAGTGAACTCTACAAAACAAGGATAATTGAGGAATGATGTACAACTCAAACCGGATTAGTTTTTAGACCAAATTGGAAAACTTAATTTTTATTAATACCCAATATAAGTTTAAAGTCTATATAATAAAGGAAGCTAAGAATTTTAGCGATCAATCCGAAACTGACTGCCCACCTGATGGTAAGTGGTAACCGTCGCTCGTATGGATCAAAGGGGATTGTTGGTAATGTGAAATAATAATCCCATTGCTAGCAATGTTCCATGTCAGGTCCACCTTCACCCGGTTCTCCCTGGAAACCATCGAGACAAATTCATGGTGAATTTACCGTAACGAGCTCACTGACTCGACCTCATACTCATCTTATCATCCTCCACTGTTGCCACGCCAGCGTAAATCGTTAACGCAGTCGGGTGCACCATTCCATTATCATCCATAAGAGAAAAAACCTTCGCTTCGAATAGCATCATCTTGGACATCGCGAGATTGCGTGACGCGCGTGTCAGCGTTACAATTTTTTTTTATTTATTAATAATGGTATTGCGCTTGGTCTTACCTCATCTGATGGTAAATGATGACAAGACCTAGGATGTAGCGCGCTTATCCAGAAGATTTCCGTTAGCAGTCAGATATATACTAGGTGTAAAAATAAAATAACAGCAGATTTTGAAGTACATAAATATATATTTCTTAAAAACCTAATTAACTAGCAACATTTTTCCTCTTTTTCTTTCTAGACATATTCTCAGTTTTCAATTCTTTAACAGTGTTGGCTTTCCTCTTTATTTTGCTTATCTTTCCTATCACATTCTTGAATCTATCGTCCTTCTTCATCAAACTTTTATTAACTTTCTTCATTCCATCCTTGATGGACACATCAATGTCTTTATCTTCTATTTCTCTCTGTCGCAAACGGTTGTCTTCCTGTTCTCCTTCCTCGTTTATTTTCGATTGGATCTGCTTAATTTTTGCCAATTTAGCTTTCTTCGCAGCTTTAACGCGTTTGCGACGCATCTCTTCTAAGCTGTTGAGGAAAAATCATATTTAATATTAATCCTCTGAAATGGCTTGTTTTATTTATATAAAAATTACTGATGTAATTATTAATTTAGTAGGCCTGAGAAAAAGTTGTAAGCTCCTTTTTACCCCTAGGTAATAAGGATATATACAGAACTTAGATGGAGAAAATATGCATATAAAGATAATAGAAAAATATGAATGTATAAATTATCCTTATAATCTATATAAAAAAAACCACTCTCTTTCTTGCCATATCTCTTTTTCAAAAATTCCATTCCTCTTTTGAAAAAGAGATGGCTTGACTGTGTGAAATATGATATGGCAAGAAAGGGAGTGGTTTTTTTTATTTTCGTGCCTAAACAACAGCAGATAATGAAAAAATGAAGAGAACCTGTTTTGTGCGGAATTTATTTAATTACAATTTTTATTTTAAATAAAAGTTTTTTCATGAGATTGTTTCACATTTTTTCATATCTTACCATTAGAATAGAATAGAATAGAAAATCATTTATTGAAATAAACTTCATTAAAGCACTTTTCAATAGTCATAACAATTTGTTTTTTATCTACCACTTTCGAGTTACACACCATTATCGAGTTATGTTGAGAAAACCAAGCGTTAACCTACCCTTTTTTTTTTAATTTTTCACCCCTTTCCTGTCAACTTAAATCAAAATTTCTTTCTGAATAATTATTATTCACGTATTTGGGGACTTAATTTTATATATTGCACCAAAACTGGTGACATGGTTTAATTTAAAACTTTACTGGACTATTAATAATTTTCAAACTTATAATTTGAATTATATGGTCGAATTTTGAAATAAAGACATCTCACCCTTCCTCCATCATGGCGGGGTCGACGCCCGCCTGTATCCATCGCTTGATTCGATAGTTCTTCTTGCGTTGCTCAAACTCCTCGTTGTCCAACTGGGCCTCCTGTTCACGGCGGGTGACACTCACTGTTGTAAACACTTTAACGGCTTCGTCATCTGATAAAATAAAATATATACATTATTAGTTTGACGACCTCGATGGTCTAGCGGTCTAGCACACGGCTTTACGACCGATGGTCGCGGGTTCGATTCCTCGCACGGCACAAACATTTGTATTCATGAGTATGATTGTTTGTATCGGTCTGGGTGTTTTCTATGTATAATATGTATGTATTTACGAAAAAAAAAATCTATGTATTTGTATCAGTTGTCACAAGCTTTAGTTAGCTTAACTTAGGTCTAGATAGCGCTGTGTGAATTGTCCTGAGATTGTTATTATTATTAGTATAGTTCATTTTTTTAACTTTATTTATTTTATTATGCATGTGACTCACCATCAATCTTGTATTCTGTGAGTTTCGTATTGATCTGCTCTTCAATTTCACCGAGCCGCAGTATGTCATACGGAGTGATCAGCGATATAGCCATCCCGCTACGACCGGCACGCGCCGTTCGTCCCACTCTGTAACAAGGAATTGATTCAAATTGCTTGTAGAATAATCAAAATACAACCATCGAGAGTAAAGCGGTGTGTGACTCCTTTAGACCACCAAGAATATATGGTATACAGCAGAACACAGAATAAGTGATCACAGTTATTAGAAAAATTAAAAAAAACTTAACCATTTGGTTACAAACTATAGGTATTATAAAAAAGCTAGAAAATCGACGCACTGTGATGATCAATTGAATAGGATTGTTAGTAGTGTGGATTAATGAGCCCATTGCTACCAATATACCATGTCAGGATGGTCTACATGCGGTGCCCCTGGAAACTCATAGATTTCTGGTGATTTTGCAACGATTGTCTAACTGACCTGATGTTCATCATGAACATGAGGTTCATCCTATCATCCTGGACTGGGCATCAGCGAATACCATTAGCGCAGGCGGAAGTACCATTCCATATCATACGTTAACAAAAACAATACACTCACTTTTGTATTCCAGAGGATTAATGCACCCAAAATATGTGAGAGTGAGACAGACAGACCCCCGCAGACGACTTGTCATACTACATACTAGGTTTGTTATCGGGGTGTTGTTTACACACCAGGTCACATGTGAGTCAAAAGAGTGAATGTGAGTGAGAGTGAGCGTTTATTCTTTAAAACTCGACCTTGACCGATCGCATTTTTTTTGAGTTGTAAACGATGGAGCCCGTCGACCTTCGATAAAATTTTGGTCTCGATCGAACAAGCCATTTCGGACGATTATCGTTACAAAGTGTGCAAATCTGATCTTTAAGACCGCTCTGCTTATTTATTAACACACAAAAGATATAATTTAGAATTTCAACTATCTGGTGCACCAAATAGGTGTTTATTTAGCATACCTGTGAATATACTCTTTGGGCTCTAATGGTAGCTTGTGATTGATCACCAGATCAACAGTCGGTATATCCAGACCTCTGGCAGCCACATTGGTCGCTACCAGGGTACACTTCAGGTTGCTTCTGAATTGCGTGAGAGCTGCCACTCGTTCTTTCTGCCGCATGAAGCCGTGCAGGCAAACATTATCCATACTGATAGCATTCAGCATCATGGATAGGACTTGGCATTCCCTGGAACATTGGGTTTACGGTTACTTTTTCTATGCAATGGGAAGGTTTGTAGAGTCGTTGCTTGTTTTTTTTATGCAATGGGAATGGCAACAAGCTAACGGTCTATTTGTTGGTCGCCTATATAAATAAATAAATAATTTCAGAACAATTCACATAGCGCCATCTAGAACCAAATTAAGCTACCTAAAGCTTGTATTATGGGTACTAGACAACTGATACAAAAACATAGATATGTTTTTTTTCATAAATACATGCATATTATACATAGAAAATACCCAGACCGATACCAACAATCATACTCGTGAATACAAATGTTTGTGCCGTACGAGGAATCGAACACGCGACCATCGGAAGTAAGGCGGTGTGCTAAACCGCTAGACCACCGAGGCCGTCAGCATCGTTTGCCACTCATGCACAGCCATCCCAGAGGCCTTAGATATTATGCAGCATTCTTTAATTTTATCTTACTACTGAAACCCAGCTTACTAAGCAAACTACTTCGCGGCTGAAATAGATTGTAGTCTTAGCCCCTTGTTTAATAGGTTTCAAATATACAGTGCAGAATGTGGGCATGTCAAGTATTACACTAGCTGCCTTTACACATACGTTCTTTCACGTGGGAATCGGCTTTCACGCAGAAAAGAATGTGCATATAAATGTAGGCAAATAGAACGTCGTGAGTGCTTTAGGACCTTTTTTAATGATTATTTATTATTAGAGGACATCTGACTACAGAGCAAAGACAAAATTATAGAGTTATAGATTTACAAATCTTAAACGTGTATTTGGAAGATAAGATAAAATCAGTGGGATATAAAAAAAGGGAAATGACTTGAAACATACCAGCAATCACCTGCGAAAGAGTAATTACGCGCGCTGGGTTCACGCTAATTCGTGCTTGCGCATGGTCGCGCGTGAGAAAATGTATCCTAGGCAGGATGCCTAGGATACATTTTATTCATCTGGATATACAGATTTGAAAAAGACTGACTGACTAACTACCCTATAAGGATACCGCCAGCCGCGAACATTTATTTTTACTATATATTTCATTATTTACAAATAAATGTAATCTTACTTCTTAGTGTCAGTGAAAACTATAATGTGCGAACTTGGTTTCGTTTCCCTATACTTGCGCAGCGTCTGCACGAGGTATACGTCGCGGGCATACGCAGGACACACAACACAGCGTTGGTCTAGCGTCGACACTGTCAACTGATCATCAGTTTCCCGCCAAATGTGAAGTTTCTGTAATTATATTTAAATAATTACCATTTGTATCCAATGTTATTGCAATTAAAATAAAGTTAGATTCCCGTGACATCGTCCGCATGGAATTTAACTTAATTTTTCTAAAATAAAAATAGCTTAAGTTACTCCTTATTACATCAGCTACCTGCCAAATAAAGTCCCGTCAAAATCGCTCTAGCCTAGATTGGTGTATGTACCATATTTATATTCATATGCATTATATTCATGCATATAGTAAAAACAGTTATTTCAATATTGCAAACAGACACTCCAATTTTATTTATATGTATAGATGTGTAAAGAAAAGAGTTAAAGCAAATTTCAGTTTGAAGCATGATATATTGCAATGACATTATAGGGTAGGAAAATGGCATGCAACTTAAGGCACTGGTTTGTTTCTTTCAGTATGACTGATTTATTTTGTTATTCAATTTAGTATATTTATATTATTTCTTTTATTTCATAGTTTACATGCACAGACAATCTTAAAAATGTAAATTTCAATAACATTTGTTTAAAATAGCAACAGACAAGTTTCTTTGATTACAAATTGTTGTACTGTAAATAATACTATTCACAAGTAATTTATAATTTATAAAATTTCATGGTTAAAATATATAAATAACTAACTAAAAAATAATTAATGTGCTGTCTTATTCTATTCACACAGACCAAAGGAAATGTGGGCATGCCAATTTATAATAGTTACTTACATCCTTGTTCAGTGGAAGAATTTTTGATTCCTTCACATCCTCTGTCATTGTAGCAGAGAATAGAAGATTCTGCCTCCTCTGTGGTAAAGCATTGAAAATGGTCTCCAGATCATCATTAAAGGATTCACTGAATAGCCTAAAATTCAATTATCTTATATAAACACTAACATATTTAGAATGTATTCTGTAATAATAATGTAATGGACTGTGATTATTTTAATATTGAAGGATAACAGAAGCACATTTACAATGTATGTCTTTGGAAAGACTAGATAACATGTAAAAAAATTAAAAAGAAAGGAAAAGTTGTACAAAATAACAATAAAATTTTACTAAATATAAAAAAAATACTTTACTTTAATTATTTAATATTTAATCAATTTACAATATACATAATAGACAGAATAAACTTTATTTGTAACATACAGCAAAGAAAAGGCATAAACAATATATTAAAAGACACCTGTTATCGTTAAGTTCTATTACATCAAACAATATTTATGTGTAGCTTGACCAATTAGTTTATAAATAATTATGTTAAATTTCTTACCTATCAGCTTCATCTAGTACTAAAAATCTCACTTTCCTCAATGAAAATGTATCACAGCCAGTTATATGATCAGCTAATCGCCCAGGCATCGCTACAACAATGTGTGGTTTGTTGGCCAACTTCAAGGATTCCTCAAGTTGATCAGAACCACCTGTTACTATACACACTCGGAGTTTCAAGGGTTGGCCGAGGATACTGAATTGATCTGCTATCTAAAACAATTTTTTTTATTACATTAAACAAAAGGGCTAAAGATAAACTTCTTGGCATTCCATACATTAAGCTGTGGGAGCAGGATCCCACTGTGGGAAAAAAATTAAATCCCATGAATCTCCTGAGTCACATTTTATTTTGTTACACATACAATATTTTTTTTTATTTACAGGTAACACAAAAACAAATTCTCCGCAACAAGAATCTCATTTAACATCAATATCAAAAACTATTTTACCCGCTAAGCAGATTGCATTATAATATGTGTTTTAGTTGAAAGGTGAGTTATGGAAGTGATATTACAAGATATGAAATCATGAGACTTTAATCCTCATGCAAGATGTACCATAGGCGGCACATGTTATGTCTGTGCTGTTTATATATATAAGAGATGGTATCACTGATCATTACATTGATTGAAAGGGGAAGGGGATTGTCATGTTGACATCCACGCGGTTCCCCCTGGATACCAAAGTGATAAATTCATTGTAAATTTACCATGATGGACTAACTGATCTAACCCTATGTTCATTTTATCATCCTCCACTGGTGCTCCTACAGCGTAAACCAGTAGCGTACCTGCACCAATCCATTCCTTCCACAAGTATCATCCGATAGGGCAGCAGTTTTACATACTAGTTACATAAAAAAAACATTACCTATCTATGAAATAAAAGAAATATGTACCTGATAAGCCAACTCATGGGTGGGTGTTAGTACCAAAGCAAAGATGCCATACGGATCCTCAGCTAAATGTTGAAGTACGGGTAAAGCGAACGCGAATGTTTTCCCAGAACCAGTCTTGGCTGCTCCAATACAATCATTTCCAGACAGTATCTGTGATAGACAACCTTTTTGAATAGGTGTAGGCGTCCTTATACCTAAAAAATAAGAAAATGATTACAAAAAAGATATGTTTTTATATTTATAACCTTAAAATTATTAAGTAGACATACCAAGTGTGTGCAGTTGTTTTATGAGCCATGGTTTTATTCCAAGCTCAGGAAATCCTTTTTCATCATTTTCAACCATTTTATCTACATGAGTTTTTATTACTGAGAAATAATTTTAATAAATCTAATGGTTCAATAATACAAAAACAGTACGAAACAATGTATTATTAGATCACTGAATGTCACAGATCCACACAGATCACTGCAGATCACCCATCGAAGACTAAGTAGTGGTATATTTTATCCACAAGTGGATAGGCAAAGGTACGAGACCATACAGCCTACATCGAAGACTAAATTGATAGAGGTAAATGTCAAATTTTCAAATAATGTTACCAGCTGTAGCGGTATAGTGCACCTGCAATACGGATTTATTGAATCGCGTATATTAGTATTTTCATCACTGTCTTTGAGTAGGAATCTCAGTTTCCGTCTTAACCAACCCCAGAGACAGACGAGTGTCCCCACTTAAAAAAAGGCGAGAGATGGGACAGATTGTACCTATATACACATTTATTTTATAGAATTAATTGCAAATATATAAGATATAATACAAGAAGAGATTCCACTTCGAATGACAAGTTTGTAATTTCCTTTAGCGTGATAACTAGTCAATGGCGATTTGTAAGTAAATTCGTCACAAATATATTTTTAAAGAAATACGGCACAATACGAAGAATTATTTGTTTTTTTGTTTTATAGAAAGAAACCAGTCTTTCTTTTTTTGAAATATTATTATTAATGAATAAAAAACCTATTTTTATACGACCACTCTATTTATATTAATACCTATACTTTATTTAATTTTGTGTTAATGCGAGTTAAATGAACATCCACTTAATAGGTAGTAGTTGTAAATGTTTACAGTAGAAATGGTGTAAAACCAGCGGCCTCAATACAGCGCATCGTACCATGTACTAAAACGTGCAGCCGAGTTAGCAGAATGCAAATATCGAAATCGTCCAAATAACGCAATTGTATTTTTATGTAATAACTTTATATTTAATTAAATTTAATATATAATATATTTCGTGTTTTTGCGCCCTTCGGCTGTAGACTTTTTATGTAACATAATGTTGATGGAATTCGAAATAAATAAATTGCTAATTAACATTAATTTTCAAATGTGTACAACACTATGAATCAGAGTTATAATTTTTTTAAGGTTTTGTATTTTATGTTGGGCTAAAAAGGACTTGTATCCAGAGCCATAAAATATTTAATAAAAAAAAAAGCAATAAGCTGTCAACATAGGTAATGTCAAATTTGCCTCAAAAATAAAATAACAGATTATACATAAAGTTTTAATTTTGATTTTATAAATAAACCTGTAGTTTTATAATTAAATCTAGTGATTATATTTTATTCTTTTGCTAATTATACGTATAAATGTGGTGATTACTATAAATATTTGCACAACACAGGCTAGCTATGGAACTCGGTATTTGACATTGACAAATAGATAGTTGACATAAACACATAGATATCATTTGATATCAAACGGCAGTATCTATAATATGTTAGTACATTGTCAGTTATCTTGGCTTTGCTTTGCTTTTGACTTTTTTGGCCTCGCTTAATGTCAGAACTTCCGAAGTGTGATCAGAAGTACTCACACACAATTTTTTTCTCGTTTGGCTTGCATCCTCAATTTTTTAACTGACTGGTTCTAATTTCACGTGAACGCTTCGTGCACGATAATGTATGTCAACTAGACCAAGTCGTCGACCAACCACCCATATACCAGCGATAATAAAAAACTAATATATTATAATTTTGTATATAGTGCGCTCGATTAGTGACGGCTTCCCTTCTAAATACTGTGTGAAATAATCGTGCTACTGGATCTATAAAGTCTACTTTGTTGGTCCTACATATTGTACAAGAAGATCTAACGTATCAATTTCTGTCTAATAACAGGTAAGTTTCTAAAAGCTTACACCTATTATAATTTGAATTTGGAATACAATTTCTTTATTATCGGCTTTCGGTTTCTGTTTTAGAATGTAGAAATAACACAATTTCGTGTGGTTTGACCACCTGTGAGCGTGTAGTTATGTAATTAAAAATAAACACGCATCTTTTTATTTTTTTATTTTGTTGAAAGGCATCAGCCAAATATAAATTGTATTAAATGTGAAGTGCTATTTGAATGCCCATACAATATTTTGAAATGAATATTTAAATTGATTAATTAATAATTTTGACTTAAAAAAAATGTAATAACTTTATCTTTGTTGTACAAAGTAAACTTTCTGTGTGTTGTTGGTATTCAAACAAAGAAGTGTCAACTACCTCAGTTTTATCTTTAAATGATTTAAAACAAAGTCACAGCTTAATTCTATTCTAATATGTTTATTTGTAAATTCTATATATTTTTATTCTAAGTTTGTATCTACAATACTTTCTTATATTTGTCAAGTCAATGTTATATGTATATGTTGTTGTTTAATATAGTTACTTTATAAAAATAACAATCCATTTTCATTAATTTCCAATTTCAATTTTTTTTTTTAAATTACACTGTTGTACTATTTTATTTTATTTTCTGTCACTTATAAGCATCTGTTTCCAGAGATTCCTTTTGATACTGTGGTCTGCATGTGTTAACCCATTTTGAAACAAAACAATTTTTATGTGAAACTGAAATTGTTATTCATTTTAGTTATTTTTTCTCTATTGTTATATATATTAAATTTTGGTTCAATTCTCTGAAGGCTGGTATCAACTCTTATAAAACATATAGACAATGGCTCTATGATTGTTCTCTTTTTAATTTATTTCAGAGTTTACTAGGAATATGACTACTTATTATACTTTTTAATATATTGTTGTATATTACTTTTAATGACATTGTTATATACTATATATTACATATACTATTTTTATGTACAAAGAACATATTTCTTTGTACTTAAATGTTCTTATTATTAAATGCATTTATGTCAAATCTTAATATTCTATCCAAAACAGATTCCTTTGTTTGCTACATTGTCATGCAGTAATGTAAACATAATACTATACCAACAACCCACCTACACATTAGTTGGTTCAAAATGTATTTTGGCACAGAATGATTTTTATGCATTCACTAAAAAAAACTTAGTTTAACAAAAGAAATATTCCGTTCTGATATTTTACAATTTCATTGTTAATGGTAGACCAATACTAAAATAAACACAAATCTCATCACTAATTAGAAATAACTGTTAATAAATTATATTAATTATTACTTTTATTTGTAACATTTATCACACAATTGTTGTGTGTCAAGTTGTATTAGATATAATAATAAAATTAATTTAATCCAGTCTGCAATACTGACAATTCCCTTCTTAATCTCCAATGAAGAAAGAAAAACTTAGCAGTAATTTGATTAAATTAGATAAATACATAAACTAGAATTAATTAAATGAATCTAATTGTCATCATTACTAACAAATATCATCATCTTGTAATTTCACCCATCTTGAAAAATATTAAACCTTAAATTGTTAGAATTAAATACAAAACATAAAAGTGAATGAATTCAAAAAATCTAATAGTCTTCAATATTAATAATTCTCATGACCTTGAAAATTTTCTTGATAATACCGTCTTGAAGAACAGCATTCTTCCTGCAATCACATGTGTATCTTCTATATTGGATATTAATTTGTGGCAATGTAATTACCAACAGATGGGCCATATATTTGATGCTACTTCTGTGGTATAAAATAAATAGTAGATTGGGTACCACAGTCCCATCTGTTTCAGCTGCCAAGCAACTTGCTTTCTAAGCTATTATAATTGAAAAGTGCAGATTAGGTAATGAAATTACTGGATAAGAGGCCAGACATCTCAATTCTCTGGAATGGCAATACATGAGTGGTATTGCAGTTGTCACAAAAAAAAAACTAACAATAGACTGTTACCATGATGTGTATTTGCTGCAGGTGCATATCCATGATGGGTGTGTTCAAGACAGCGGTCTCCTTGGCTGTTAACAATGCTAGAGTTGGTGTGAAGAGTAATAGATCTGTAAGTATAGTAACATATTTTTTTACTAGATAGTATATTAATACTCAATATGTGGTTGTAATTCCTAAGTATTAAAAACCAACCTTGGTGATAGTAACACATTTTTTTACTAGATAGTATATTAATACTCAATATGTGGTTGTAATTCCTAAGTATTAAAAACCAACCTTGGTGATAGTAACACATTTTTTTACTAGATAGTATATTAATACTCAATATGTGGTTGTAATTCCTAAGTATTAAAAACCAACCTTGGTGATAGTAACATATTTTTTTTACTAGATAGTATATTAATACTCAATATGTGGTTGTAATTCCTAAGTATTAAAAACCAACCTTGGTGATAGTAACATATTTTTTTTACTAGATAGTATATTAATACTCAATATGTGGTTGTAATTCCTAAGTATTAAAAACCAACCTTGGTGATAGTAACATATTTTTTTTACTAGATAGTATATTAATACTCAATATGTGGTTGTAATTCCTAAGTATTAAAAACCAACCTTGGTGATAGTAACATATTTTTTTTACTAGATAGTATATTAATACTCAATATGTGGTTGTAATTCCTAAGTATTAAAAACCAACCTTGGTGATAGTAACATATTTTTTTACTAGATAGTATATTAATACTTGATATGTGGTTGTAATTCCTAAGTATTAAAAGTCAACCTTGATGATCTAGCAATTTAGCACACCACCTTACTTCTAGGATTGTAGATTTGATTACGATTATGATACTAGTCATCCACACCATCCGAGGGGGTTAAGTTGTCTCGGGGCAAACCTCTTTACCCCCACATCAACTCCAGGGACGAAAACCCTGGCTGGCTAGATTTAAGCCTACTAGAGTGGGATACTTAAAAAAAAGTAATAAAATAAGTAATAAAATTAAAACAATTTAACCTAACTTAAGCAGTGGTGCCACATCAGGGACGATTTTTTAAAAATTATGTATAGGTACATACAAAGTGGAGGGTTTAGTTAATGACATGTTAAAATGCTTGGCAACTAATAACAACTTTTTACCGTCAGCCACGATATGACCACATGTTGCACGATGTACTCTGTGTAATTATAGATATCGCCTGATATTATGACGTGCGTTACACTACTATTAAATTTTGATATTTTTTTACTTTTTTCCTACTTATGTTGAATTAGGACTTGAGCGTGTTGTCATAGAATTCAAAATCGATATTTGCGTAGAGCTATCTATATATAATATAAATAAACTAATAACAATAACAGACGTATAAAAGTAAATAATACGTAAAATATATTCAACATATGTACATAATACTCAATAAGTATAAGTCAACTAGTTTTCTTCCTATTTTAGCTGTTAATACATTAAATAATTAATTGTTTATACTAAAAATCTGTGCAGGCAAAAGATAAAAAGGATTTATTTATTACGTAGAAATAAGCTAAGATTTTCTTTTTGTAAATTAGGTGATAATGGAATGGTGCTCCCGCCTGTGGTAACGGTATCACTGAATGATTATAGGCTAAGAATTAAGTCATATTAGTTAGCATGGAATTTACCACGGTGGCTTCCAGGAGGGGCCTCGTGGAGGTCGACCTAACGTGGTAGACATATATTGCTAACAATTAGAACAGTAATCCCCATTGCTAATAATACCGTAGTCTTGTCGTTCATAGTCAGCTGTGATTATGATAATGAATATGTATAACAAAATAAATCAGTTAGTTTTTTTCCACTTAATATGTTTCTAATAAAATAATATTCAGGGTTACGGATTTCAAAACAGTTTCAAATATAAATTCTAATATTCTCTTGTTTCCGCTATCAGTTTGCATACATTATTCTAATCAGCAACAAGCTAAAATATACTTTACGTTTTATGTGTACGATCAATTTTTAAGTAAACCAATATTTACTGCATTCTTGCAGACTTTGTATTGGTGTCCCGTCTATTCATCGCTCCGTTACATGTTTGTTATATGTCTATCTTTCTCTATACATTTTTCCTCGTTTTTACTCTATGGTTGCATTATTTTCTCTGTTTAACAATTCTCAAATTTTGCAACTTGACTACTGAGTTGCGGTGCCTTATCCAATTTTGATACTAGGAACTTGCTTTGCATATAAGACAATAGCTTGAATTGCAAGTCCGTCTCTAAGAGTTCCGTAAAGAGTGAGATTTTTATTAACACAGATCCAGTTAGCCTATCTTAGCAAATGACAATTTATCACGATGGTTATCAGGGAAACCACGTGGAGGTCAACCTGACATGGTACATGGCTAGCAACGATGTTGTTATATTTAACAGCGTCGAAATATCGGGAACTCATGAATACTAGCATCTTAGATAAATATCACACATATGCCATCTAATCCCAAGTTAAGCTTGTGTTACAGGTGCTAGACAACTGATATATATACTTTTTTTATACATACATGAAATACATAAAAAACTCTCAGACTAATACGAACAATCATATTCGTGAATACAAATGTTTGTACCGTGCCTGCACCTTGTAATCGAACACACGGCTATCAGAAGTAAAGTGGTGTGGTAAACCGCTAGACGAATGAGACCGTCAATTAAGATATTGCAGTGTATGAATAAATAACAATGTTATAAGTATATGTGAACTCGTACGATGGGTCTTCTGTCATGTTAGGTATTGCTCATGATGATGACGATCACCTTGTTTGTTTGTTGGCACCAATGGAAGTTGATAAGAGTAAAGTCACTTTCCTTTCTTTGTTATTGTGGTACGAAGTACATATAAAAACAGATATAGAGTAAATATAAAAAAATAATGACGTTCATAAAAGGCTAAAAATATTCTATACGAATAAATGCATTTGACTTTGAATATTTCAGTTTAGATTGACAGTACATTGGTGACAATTACAAGTCACTGGTCCCCGTTACTAACAACCCCTCCTCCGAGTGTTCCTCTGCTATGACACATACCATCTGGATGCTATGATGTTGTATAAATAATAAGCTGCAGATGTATGCTGTATTGAATGCACGATGCTTTAGTTTTTTTTCGGGACTATAATGCTGTTGGCCACAGCTGATCTTTACAGCTTCACCGGATCCCCTATCATCCGGTGAAAGATATATCCGGCGAGTGCAAATGGCACTCCAAACCCGCGGAAGGACTTATGGAGCGGCTGAAGGCCAACTCCCGTCTGACGGATACCACTTTAGTCTGAGGGAGTCTGAGGGCACCGCTAGGCGCTCGAACCTCGGCTCAGGCCGCCGTAATTTCGATCCCCGTTTGAATTGGACGGGGGATCAATCGGAGGGGACGATGCTTTAGTATGTACTTTATGCTTGTTTTAGGGTATAGGTATTCTATAGACGTTGAGCGCTGTAATGTATGATGGATAATGATTGAGTGAATGATGGCAGTGCAGTGACGGACAGTAGGTAGCTAGAGTAGGAGAGGATTACTGATATTTAGAAACTAGTACAGTCGACCTCTACACAATAGAAGAATACAAATCAACAGGGGACCCCCTTTGGCCCTCGGTTAATTTTTATTGATTTCTTCTTCGATTAGATTCTTCTTGGTTTCTCTTGATGTCCCGATAGCTATACTATTAGGTTGTACATCAATCTATAACAAAAAAAAGCCATCCTGATAAATCCCTGGAGAATTTTTCACGATGTGCTAACTGTCCTTACTCATCTTATCATCCTCCACTGCCCCTCCAGGGTACACCGTTAGTGCAGTCTGATGCACCATTCCATTATCATCCGTTAACAAAAAATGCTGCTTATATATGTACGATATATAATATGGATAAAATAAAGAGAAGCAAAACCGTACGCCTCCAATTTAAATGACCGTGACCGCCGACATTGAAGGCGGTTGTTACCTCTCTGCGAGATAAACGTATAAAAATATACACAGACATGTTCTGTCTCTATGTATTTTATATGTATACATAATGTGTTATAGCGATGCTTGGATTTTGAACTGTATTGTATACGTTTAAGGCATCTTTTCCAATAAAGTTAACTTCTGAATATTATAAAAAGTTTATTTCTACGGTATAAGAAAAATGAAAAGTTTTATTATATGTTGATGATGGTATACTGTTCGGACAGGCTTAGCAATAGTATATTATAACAGTAAACAATACTATGGGTTCACCCATTTATGTTTTTATTTTAGATAAAGAGATTCACGTACGGGCTGCAATTCTTTCTTGTTTATGAGGAAAATATGAGTATCCTCTTGCGCTAAATGTGGCGGGGCACCAATAGAGGATTATAGGAAGTGCACGAAGTCAGTTCAGTTAGGCATTGTGGCGACTTCACTAGTCATTATCTCCCCCGTCTTCAGCATTTAATACACCCCATAACTATACCACTACACCATCTGTAGATGGTATAGTGGTATAGTTATGGGGTATATCAGATGCAGATGCAATCGTTAGGGGGAAGGTTAATTGTTAGTAAAGGTGAATAGTAAACCCATTGCTAACAACTTACCATGTTCCCCCTGGAAACCATCGTAGTTAAAACCTAATGAATTCGTCACTATATTCTAATTGGGCTAACTTCATATCTTTCGCTATCATAGCTTATATCGTTAATGCAGGCGGGTGCACCTTCCATTAGCATCCATAAAAAAAAATTTACTGACATTTTGATGATTCTTTTTGTTTAGTCGTTCCGGCCGCTGCTGTCGTGCGCGCCAGTAGCAATGATGACAATGGACCGCGGCGCTCATACGCAAGACATTACCAAGAATATCCAGTACATCAGCAACGAGAAACTGAAGCTCACTGCAGACCCGAGCACCATGAAGTGAGTTATTATTTTTTTAAAGGTTGGTAATAGAATGATTGCCTGGTCTTAAGACTAATTTATGGTAAATAACCTTTATTTACCATAAATTAGTCTTAACTTAATTAGTGTTGACGTTTCGACTAGGTTGGTAGGTGACTAGCCGTGGTCAAGAGCCGACTGGAGTAATCTATCAGTGGAGGATGATAAGATGAACATGAGGTCAGGTCAGTTAGCCCAACGTGGAAAATTTAGCGGGATTTTATTATGATGATTTCTGGAGGAATGGCCTGAAGATCAACCTGACAATCAATGTACTTAACATTGATTGCAATGGTATTATTAGTCCATTACTAACAATCCCCTCCCCCCACTAAACTACAATTTCTTTTATTATATTGGTAATTAATACCTCAGGTTCAGTGACTGGATCGTTAACATATTTGATGTTTAAATTTTTTTGTTGACTGTTTACAATTTTAGATATCGTAACAATTTTATAATTTAACAGTTTCGTAATATCGGGAGCTCATAAATAATATTATCTTCCCGTATAAACATTAGATTTAATAAAATTGTATCGTGAAAAATTAAATAAAAAAATTTAAATGTGAAATAAATGGATATTATCCCTGCTAATATTATAAATGCGAAAGTAACACACTGCCTGGCTGAAAGAATATAGCCTATTTTTTATTGCGACAAAGGGTTGAAAGGTTGTACATACAGGTTTATTAATTTACCATGTAAAACACATACATTTAGCTCATCATTTACAAATCTATAAGTTAACAGTAAACATTAAGCATTGAAATATCGTAATTTTTAAAAGTTATTTTTTAGACTACTGATTAAATTTAAATTAATAGGTATGACATTCTAATTTGGTAAAATTTTTGCCCTTTTACCGTTTTAAAGGGAGATGAAGTAATAATTTAAGATGAAATAGGGAATGAATGTTTGTATGAAAATTTGTAATTTTTGAAGCTAGGACGATGACTCTGTTTTCTTAAAGCTTATTAAATTATTTAATAAGCTTAAATAAAGAAAACTTACCTTATAAAGTAAAGTATATACATATGTGTCATATTTATAATATTTGTAAAATAGTTCATTATTTCACACGAAATCGCAGGTACAGCTAGTAATACTATAATCGTTGCCTTCGTTATGTAATCTTATTGGAAAGAATGTTTTTTTTTACATTTTCTCACAAATCACGACATTGTCGTGTGTGTACATATGTAGTTATTTTATATTATGCATAGACAATAGTTATACATACGAATGTATCGACAATTGTAAATGGTAATAAGCCATTATTTACAAATGAGGTTTGAGTTATGTTACTTAAGTTTACAGTGTTTGAAAAAAATAATTAAATTATTCTGAAAGTACTTACAGTTTCAATGCTAATGTTTGGAATTATAATGAACTTTCAGGCTAACAAACAACTACTGTAGTGAATCACTAAGTGATAGAGTAAGTCATATGTAGAGATCACGAAAATTAGCTTTATTACGAAGAGTTGCCATTAGTCGCTCCATAAGACCTTCCTCGGGTTTGGAGCATACTTTGCAGTCATCCTCATTTTCATCCGTTTAAGCATATAAAGGAACAATGCGCAAAAGAAGTAGATCTTTGAAAAAAGATTACTTTTCATAAAGTTTAGTTTTTACAGTTACCTTTGTATAAAATACTGCCCAGCCGGTCTCGGTTATGCACTGGTGTCGCATTATACGTGTAGGTAAACCTTCCTCTTGAATCACTACCTGTCGCTTAAACCTGTATTAAAATCCATTGCGTAGTTTAAAGATCTAAGCGAAAAGTCAGGGTAAGCGACTTTATTTTGTACTATGTAAAGATTTCCAAAAAATGTATTTAAATATTTCCATTAATCGTTTAGTGATTAACACAAAGCTAAGCTTAGCTCGGGACTCTACGGCGCTGTGTGAATTGTCCAGAGTTAATTTTATATTTACTTATGTTCAACAGGTTGAATACTCAGCCAGACAAACCTCTCTGCGTTATGATCAACTGGCTGCTCGCCCGACAGAAGCACGTGATGAAGTATGCCACACTGTACCTGGAACAGGGCTTCGATGTGCTCTCAGTGTCCTGCACGCCGTGGCAGCTTATGTGGCCGGCTAAGGGTTCACAGGTTAGTATCCCACCCACTCATTAGTATGTACCAAACAAATGACTGCAATCATATCAAATCAATGAAATATAATGTCCCACAAATGTCCTAACAAAAAATATTTAAGATCAGAAAATTTATCATATTAATTTATCATATTAGTACTTCATGTTTAAAAATTAGAAAGCTTTATTTTAATCTGATTCAAACTTACGACCATTTTTAAGGTCTTAATAATTAATTAAACTAGGCTACGACAATTCCTATGTTTAAGTATAAACGGTCACCAATTTAACTTGTAGCCAGCCAACTTGTTAGGACGATTTTGACTGGTCGGCAAGTCAAAATGTCGAAATCTTTGGGGTCTTATTATACTAGGCTACGACACTTCCTATATGCAAATATAGACAATTCACGATTGACAATTTAACTTGTAGACAACTTGTTAGAATGATGTCGACCGATCGGCAAGTAAAAATTTCGACCTTTTTGGGGTCTTATTACGACACTTCCTATATGCAAATATAGACAATTCACGATTGCCAATTTAACTTGTAGCCAACTTGTTAGAATGATGTCGACCGGTCAGCGAGCGGGCAGGAGTCCTTGAAGCGTTAATTCACTGCACGCGACTACTAGTAAATAACTGGTCAATACCGTAGCGGACCGTAGTTAGAACAGGATCCGTAGCGGTCATTTCCTTATCTATCCCTCTTTTTATACAAATAAAGTTCTGTAGTTCTGTATCCAAGATCTACTGAGGGGCAGGGCAGGTTCTTCGGATACATAGCAGGCAACAATTCTCCAAAAATCTGTGCCCGCTGCACTGGCTGGTGAAGCTGGAGAGGCCAGCTTCGTATTATGTGTTAATTGTTCAATCAACATCCAGACCAATACAAATCCTACCCTTGGGTATAAATGCTTATACTGTACAGGGATTGAACCCGCTATCGTCTTAAGCTGTTGTCTAACACAACCAAGGTCAATAAAGTACATAGAGTTAACGTACCATTTCAAGTACGCAACGGCAACAGCCGATTACTACATATATCACACGATTAATAACAAAGTGCATTAACTGAAAAAAATGATTTTTAGAAATAGACTTCAAATGTTTTGTGCTTAAAGTTGATTTTCCTATATCGAGATTGTTTCTTTGAGTTAATGTAATCTGTATTGGGTGTGTGATATGTTTACATATTTACTTTGTATACAAATGTATGGAATTCATTTGGAAACGAAAGTGTATTAAATAAAACATTTTTGTTTAAAAATGGACTCTAAATGTCTGGTATATAAAGTTGATTTTTCTATATTGTTATTTTTGGAGTTAATGCAATTCGTTATTAAATGATATGTGATTACTTTGTATACAAATGTATGCAGAACATTTGGAACGCGAGAGACACGCAGAAGCAGCTAATAATGTCATGTGAACTAAAATAGTTTATCACGGATGCACGCACATGTTATATTTATAAATATATATACACGGTTTAGACCGCTTTACTGTAGATGATCGCGGGTTCGATTCCTCGCCCGGTACAAACATTTGTATTCATGAGTATGATTTAATTAGTATTTATATTAGTTGTTAAATACCCGTAGTTAATTGTCCAGGTTATTTATTTCTTACTAGCTGTACCCGCCACTTCGTCCGCATGCAATTTAACAAAAATTTTAATTAGAGATTTTTTTTAAATGATATACCCTAAGCTACTCTATATTAGGCACATCAGCTACCTGCTAATAGAAGTCCAGTCAAAATTGGTGCAGTCATTTCAAAGATTAGCCGGAACAAACAAACAGACAGACAGATAGACAGACAAAATTGTAAAAAATGATATTTTGGTGTATGTACCGTATTTATATTCATATTCATGTAGTATAAAATGGTTATTTCAATATTGCAAACAGACACTCCAATTTTATTTATATGTATAGATGTTTTGTAGTAGGAATTGCAAACAATCTGGTAATATCCAAGATACTGTGTACAATAGGCTTCTTAATTACACTACGGACCTCTAAATAAATAGGCGATCTCGATTATTGTCATAAATCATATGTTTGGTGCCGTCTATTCATGTTTGCGATGAGATATTGCTATTGAAATATTTTTATACAGAAATTTTAATATTAATTTTGTTACTGGAAATAGAATCAATAGAAAAATAATCATATATTTATTTCATTTACATTAAGGCGATATTCTAAATCTCTATTTAGAGATATACCTAATGATAAATGTTAAATAAGTAAGATGCAGACGAAGTTGGCGCGGGGCAGCTTGTAATCATACTACTGTGTGTTGTATTTCATTCGTAACAGAACTTTCTGGATATACAGTTATATAGTTCTGGATATATAGATATACAGTTGTATTCGATAAAAAAGGTTAAAAATATCGTATTTACTTGATGTATTTGTATAATAGTATTTTGTTTAATTCCGTTACAAATAACACCTAATTCGATTAAATATATTAAATAAATCTCAGTATTTGTACGAGAATACTTGTTCGGCATCTCTGGTTTAGTTTTATCGAAATCACCGCTAGGGATTCGAACCACAGCTCAGCCCGTCGTAATTTCGATCCCTGTTTGAATTGGACGGGAGATCGATCGGAGGCACCCGGTGTGGAGCGGCTGGGCGCGCAAAGGCGCTCCGGTTGATTGCGCGGTACGGTGTTTGAGATCGTCGTCTTCGCCAGCGAGGACGGTGTCGTGTGTGTGAATGTGTGGTCGAGACGATGTAGTCTCGAGGGCACCGCTAGGGGTTCGAACCTCGATTCATCTAGCATGAGAGTGAAGGTTTATTTATTTATATTCTATTGCAGCTCGTCGCCAGTGATGTGCTGAAATTCATAGCCACGAACGAAAACGAACATCCCATGGTTGTGCATGGGTTCTCAGTCGGTGGATACATATGGGGCGAGGTCATGAATCATGTAATGAACAACAAAGACAGGTGGGTATATCTATTGTCTATATCTATCTCTATCTATCTTAAAATAGTATACAGCAAATTTCCTCTTGTAAGTTTCCCAATGAATTAAAAGAAATAAATTTTCGAACATGAAAGTAGCCTAAGTTACTCCTTGCTGTCTACGAATGAAAGTACCGTCAAAATCTGTTTCAGAGATTAGAAAGAACAACAGGCAAACATATTTTAAATATTTTTTTATGTAAGTACCGTATATACTTACATAAACATTTTATGAAAATCTGTAAATTTTATTTTATATACAGAGGTCTCAATTTTATTTTATTTAGATAAAACTGGCATGCATACGGGTCCGCTAGTATTCTAGATAAAATATATAAAAAAGTGAAATTTTGCTTTATCTATATTTTTAATGAGTACTTTTACGGCTTTGGTTTTTTTTTTAAAAACAGCCAATTTACTTGGTTGATATCTAGTCTAATTGTAATTTTTTACTTAATATTTTTGTACAAGAAATAAGTGCCACCATAATCAGATGAGGCGGCCTTTAAACTCCGCTATGTTGTTTATCGTATTATTTAGATAAAATGTTACGTTTAACAGGTTTTTTTGTTTAGTTACACAATTCATTTGTTAGAGAAAGATATAACATGTTACGTCGTTGTGTATCTTATCGTTTAAATTTTAAACAATTCTAAACCGAGTTTGATTCTTCTTTATTTCATTCTTTTATTTGAAGGCCTCGGTGATATGGTAGTTTAGCATACCGCTTTACTTCTGATGGTTGCGGGTTCGATATCTTGCGCGATGCAAACTTATAATCATGAGTATGATTGTATGTATAGGTCTTGGTATTTTTTTATGTAAATTGTGTATGTATTTAAAATAAATCCTTCAGGCAACTTAAGATTATTTTTATAACAACTAGCTAGCCGTCCTGGCTTCGCACGGGTGTATTATTATACATATAAACCTTCCTATTGGATGACTATCTAAAAAATCCGTTGCGTAATTTAAAAGATCTAAGCGAACAGACAGCGAAAGCGACTTAATTTAATACTATGTAAAGATATTGGCGATACCATAAGGACTAACATATAAAACAATAATATTGTCTCTGTGGTCGCCACACTCTCTAAGGCAATCTGTGTTTTAATCTGTGTAAATTGATCTAGGACTCTTTTTTAGATACTTGCCAGTCCTCGACCGTGTGGTAGCTCAAGTGTGGGACTCCGCCGCCGACGTCAGTGAGATCTCAATTGGAGTGCCAGCCGCTGTGTTCCCAAAGAATAAAATCATGCAAAAAACCCTCAGAGCATACATGGAGTGAGTATTGTATTAAAAGTTTTGGAGTAGTACATTAAGAACTGGGATTCGCGACCTTAATTTTTATCCCTCTTTACTTAATTACAAAGCATAGAGATATTTTATAGCACAGAGTATAAACTTCTTGATTTTCAAATACCAATCCTTTTTCCTACGTCATTAAGTTCTAAATTCACCTTTACACTATTTTACAAATACAAACTTAGATGTTTTTTTTATTTAAACTATATTGTAATATCCATAAATATATATATTTAACACATTGATACTACAATAAATACAATATAATTGTAATGTCAATCTGTTCGAAATACATTTTTACTCTCTTTTGTAAATATAAGTATTGTGGCAATCACTACAAACAATGCCGGAACTGTAGGAACAGGCCGACCAATCCCGGTCACTCTCGACCGCCCGCCCGCTCGCTATTTTATAAATGTGTTAAGTGTACCAACAGAATAAGTAGTAGGTATATTCCTTGCAGTTAGGTAAGACACAGGCGATTTGGTTGACATAAAATTTTGTGTATTTTACAAAATAAAACTGATTTCCACCATAAGAGGGCCTTTAACTCGCACCATAAAAAACACAGAAATCCTCATGCTCATATCTGCCGCCCGTAGTATATATTTTTTTTATTTAATTTAAAGTTTTAAAATATAAGTCAAATATTACTCTTATTTCAACGGTTTTAAGATTTTTATAGAACTTCGTCTTTGGGTATTTTTTATATAATATTACATTTATTTTATTAAAATGTACAAGGCACTGTACATCAAATATTTGTGTTACTTGTTTAACTACGAGCCTTATCTATACATTTTTTAAAGCGGAGACGCTAAATTCCAATAATAGAAATTGTACACGTAAATTCAGCATATAAATCATTGTTTTTTCAGCATTTTCAGCGTGTAGGCGTCCGCGATCTTTGTACTCGATCGGTGCGCATTGCGACACTTATGCTAAATATAAATGAAACGAGCGTTTCACAAAGAATTTTATATTCTAGAACATTCTCACACACACAGTACATCAACCTTGCTATATTAGCAATGCTGTTAAGTCCGCCGTGGTACTTTACAATGTCAGGTTGACCTCCATTCGATTCCCTTGGAAACCATCGTGACAAATTCAATACGAATTTGTTTCCAGGGGCTCACTGACCTGACTTCATGTTCATCTTATCCTCCACTGGTGCCCTGCCAGCGTAAACCATTAGCGCAGGCGCGTGCATCATTCCTTTATCTTTCATTAAAAAAAACTAGTACAATTCTATGTACAATTGACAAGTTGATAAGAAAATGACGAGACCTTATCTACTGAGAGGTATATTCGTTTGTAAGTCGCATAGTAGACAAGGGCTTCGTTTATAAGATATCAAATTAATGAGGTTATATAGCAACACAAAGAGAAACCGTAAAAAGTCCTTTAGGAGTTTTCTAAGAAAATTCCACATCCAATTCAATTCCAAGCAATTCCAGCAACACACAAGTTTCTTGCTTATTCTTCTTGTGATGACCTTTCCGAATAAGCGGTAGATTTAAAAAAATTTTGAGTGTTCAAAAGTGCTTAAATTAAGTTTATTTGAATAAATAATTTTCTATTCTATTCTATTCCACAACTGATTTATTGAAACTGTTGTTGAAAATGTTGGTTTAATTCAATTAAATATAAATATGTCTTGTAAATAAAACTGTACTTTGAGTGTTTTTTTACTGTGACTGGGGCAGGATTATTATACAACTATTTAATAAAAACCGGGATTAATTATATATGTAGTAAAGATAAAAGGTGTAGTGTTTTGTTTTGTAAAGAGATTTTAATGTCCAATCATGTTTGAATCACATTTAAATAAAAATACAAAAATAAATATATATTTTCCAAGTGGGCTAACAAGCAAATCTAAGCAAATCTTAAGGGACATGTCAAAAAAGAAGTATCTAAAATAATACAAATATTAACAAAAATAATATTAAATAAGTTGACAGCAACATCCCATTAATAAATATGGAATGGTGTAAGCATTGAGCATTGAGCTACCGTGGGGCACCAGTAAAGGATGGTGAGATGAATATGAAGTCGAATCAGTTAGCCCATCCTGGTGTGAAATTAACAACAATTAACCAAGATGGTTTTCAGAGGGAACCGTAAGGTGAACCTGACATTGGTAGCAATTGGGCCACTATTCCCCAATATTAACAATCCCCTCTCCACCCTTTTACTAAAATTCTCCCAGATGGGGTAGTCAGAGGGGATGAAAACTGCTTATCTCGTGATGACTGCAACATTGAACGATTACAACGATTATTTAAAAGAGCAACACAAGTTTCTTGCTCATTCTTCTTGTGATAAAACAGTTTTCGAATGAGCGGTAGATTAAAAAAATTTTGATGACTGTTCAAAAGTGTTAAATGAAGTTTATTTGAATAAAAGATTTTCTATTCTATTCTATTCTGAAATACATATTTTAATGAGTATATTTGTATTCAACGTACAATTTCAACAACGTAGGGAACGAGTCTACTAGTCTATCTAGTATTCATAATATTACTAATATTGTAATAGTTTATTGGTATCGGCCATTTTCTAAACTGCATCTCGGACTTGCAGGTACCATCTGAAGACCTTCCACGACGCAGCCACCACACATTATATTCGTTCCTCCCAGCTGTTCCACTCGAACCCGTGTCGCGCTCCAGCGCTGATCTTCTTGTCCAAGACCGACCCTGTCGGAGCCGAGAAGAGTAATCGGATGCTACACGATAATTGGGTCAAGTTGGGCATCAAGGTATGTATTGTAATTTTTTTATGGTACTATAGTGGCGAACAAGCTGACAGATTCATCTGATGATAAATATCTAACCGTCACCTATATATATGAACACCGCGAACATTACGTTATCATGTGACGCCCGAGATCATTCTTGCGTTGCTATTCTAGAGGACTAAGTGTTATATCTCTATATCCTGTATATATAGCTTTATTTCCACCCTTCAACCTAAACACAGTTTACAAAGTAAGCTGCTTGGCGAATTAAATTGGCGAAATACATGAAGTAGAACGGTGATTTTAAGGAAAAGAAAGAGACCTGTGTGTGAGAGACAGATTAAGATGGTACGATAAAAAGAAGTCAGGTCAGTTAGGCCACCGTGATCAAAGAATGCTTCTCATGGAAATCATCACAGTTAATGTCTTGAAGAACCAGAAGTAAACCACAATGATTTCCATCGAAAGCGCGAGTTAGCTTTCTCGCGCTAAATCGGGCTAATTATATAAATGAAACCTTTCCCCCTGAACAGTGCACGTGGAAGTGTTGGGACAAGTCTCCGCACGTGCAGCACTTCACGTTCCACAAGCAAGAGTACCTGGCCGCGCTCTACGCGCACCTCGACGCGTGCAACGTGCTCGCGCAGCCCGACAAGCTGGGCGCGCGGATATAACTCACGTGCGGCGACTCCGGACGCGGCCGGGTATTTCAAGCTCGGTACCCCGACTAGTTCATAAATATGGACGTTAAATAATTCAGCGATTTGTTAAAAATTGATAGAATAATGAAATTGGTCAACTCGATTAGTAATTCATAAGCGTTGTTCCACAGACAACAGGTAGAGAGATAGATTGTACAATTTCAATTTGTACCGAAACTTACGTGTCAATTGTATGTGCCTTGATATAAAATCTGTTTAGTACTCAGCCTCCGTCTTGCACTAAAATATAATAGATAATCAGTAAAAACAGTTTTATCGTCCAAATGGTCTTAAAAAATAAAATGAAACTGGTTTCATATTAAGTACTGCCACATGCCACGGGTCCCAACATTAAGGTTGTGGTAAAATAATCGATTATTATACAATTAAAAATCGATTATTATGCTATCAATTAAAATGATTTAATAATCATTCAACTTCTAGGTGTACCTTGTGGTCGACCCGCTATGGTACATTGCGGAGCTATTTGACCCCATAATTACAAAATCAAATTAATTATCACTATCGTATGGACACGCAAAATATATACAATTGTGAAATCTATTGATAACCGTCATCTGTGGATTATACACGTAAGATCATAACATTTATTAAACCTAAAGGTATATTCATGGGCAATAATTGCAGGGCAGTACTGGCTACTGAATTAGTATTATTTTTGTTTAATTCAACTACAATTATTATATGTGAAACTACAAACAATTACTGAATAATACAACTAGACACAGTTATGGAAATCACACGACACCGTCCTCGCCGGCGAATACGATGACCCCAACCACTGCGTCCAGCTTTATTAACCGAATTAAATTACTTAAATGGTCCACTTAAACCGAATTACAGGGCTACTTAGGAGAGAGCGTAGGTGAGGACCTCGACGTGAACCCTACTAATCCGCCTTTTGCAATTACTTCAAGATATTGGTTGGTATTGCATTGATTGTTGGTGGTCGTCTTTTTATCTGTTATATTTTTTTACAATTTTCTTTGTAATCAATTGCCCGTGGTACACCTTAATAGAGGCCAAAGAGGGCCTCTAAATTGTTTTGTATTGACTCGTAGTGTAAAAAATTACCATGTGATATTCGGTATTTTGGGGCATTCCCTATAGAACTAATATTTTTGCCCAATAGGTTTTGACCGCGTTTAATGGTTTATAGTATATTAGAAATTATTGGGTGCAGTACTGTGCGGTCGAAACATTTAATGAATACTAAAATAATTAGAAAAGTCTATATTAATATTATAAAACTGAAGAGTTTATTTGTTTGAACGCGCTAATCTCAGGAACTGGTTGGAATTGGAAAAATCTTATAACATCACGCTATGTTCAATAGCAGCAGAGTGTAAATGAAAAATGTTGTAAAAATGGGGATTTTTTCCGTTAGATGCAAACGAAGCGCGAGTTATTCTGTTATTGATAATATGAACTTTTAGATATACTTATTTTTATAACTGTAGAATCTACTACATAAGCGGTATATACTCGTCAAGTGTTTTGAACAATTTTATACTGTATTGTGTGTTATTTAGAATTTCATATTCAATGCACTGTTTTCTTTGTGAACACGATCAATGGTGATCTTTTAACCGACTTCATGAGGGGCGGAGTTTCTCAATTCTGTTTTTTTATGTGTGTATAATCTACGCGATGTTGTCGCAATTGTGAGTCGTCTTTTATTGTATTATCATTTAGATGTATACTTTTGGAGTCCTACACTTTTGTATTAGTCATAGTTTAGAATAGAATAGATTAATGTTTTATTGGAATACTTGTTGACAAGCTCTTTTAAAATATGTTTTTTCTCTACCGCTGGCTTCGGTATAATATAATAATAATAAAGACATTTATTCAGCATTACATCAGTTTTCTTATCCACAATAATATTTACTATACAACTTAAAAACATACTGGTAACGCTGAATGTTATTCTCACTCAGCATTTATACAGTAGAGGAAGAACGGACTCTTCTTTAATATCTTCTACTATAATGAAATAACAATCAGTTTAATTAAATAACTTCTTATAACACACAGCCGCAGGTTTACCCGCAAGAAATTTGAAGAATTTTATTGTGTTATTCTGATGTATAAGCTTAAAGATGAAATATTCAATATGGCAATTACTTTACATATGCAATTATGTTATATTTAGTTCCGTATAACTATACTCATTTTCGTATGCATTTTATATTTATTGTAAGTAAATATTTTCTTATGACATTAAGCAGCATTTTCCCGCCAAATTGTATTATTGGCATTTATATAATGTAACATAATGAAGCTTGCTTTTGTAGCCATTTAAGTTATGTATATATTTCTTGCAACCATTTTCTGTTATTTTAGACATGTACTTTGCGCGTTGTATTATGGTACGGATGACAGGCTAATATTTCGACATTTTCCGTAAAGAACGGTAATTAATATTATTTTTTATACAGATTTTATGCTTTTTATATATTTTTTAAAGATAAAGTATGTGTCAAGATCGATCCCCTAATCAGTATTTGAAATCAAATATTTCAATATTTCAGCCCGCGTAATTTACAACAAAACAAATTTTGTATGAAATTGTGTAAGCACTCTTATAAAGAATAACATTTCAATACATATGAAAAATATATTTAAAATCACCTACTATAAGATGCCGGAGAGAGTCTGGAAATCTGTACTGGTAGTACAGGTTTCGATCAATACTATAAACAATAATTAATACTAAAAACGTGTAACGTAATATTTTGTTGAATATAATACAAAGTTACATTTCAAGATATAAGTAAATGTGCTTGTCAAAGGTATCATAATACAATGTGTTAAGTATACATTCAATAAGACTCCATGACGTTGTAACGGTTAAAATTACATATAGTTACATAAATTAGTTACAAATTGTCTTAATAATAGACTTGCAGCGTACGGCCTATAATTTTTATAAACCAAAATATCTTAGTTTGTGAAGTCGTAAAGTGGAACCAAGTTTTTGTATGTACATTTTTAACTTAGTAACATTAAGTTTGTACGCACGTAGTCATATTTGATAAATAAAATTTCTTTTATATACATCTGTTTGTTTTATTATTAACTAGTAACCCGTCCCGACTTCGCACGGATGCAATACAAATCTTTGAATGTCTCGGCTTGTCCTATACTATAACACGCATATATTATACGCATAAATCTTCCCCTTGCATAACTCTATCTATTGCTGAGAATTGCATTAAAATCCGTTGCGTAATTAGTATATATAATATAGACTTCAAGTTTCTCTCTGAGTAGAGACCAGACCCTACACTCAAATTGTTAAAATAAAGTTGGTAAAGTAAAGAATATTCTGCAATAACTTGCATACCGTATTCATCTACCTGCGCCAACAGTATTTTTTTCTATTTATACTCTAACGCAAAGGCAAAGGGAACAGTATACACACATAACTGAAAGTTAATGTGACATGTTGACTGTCCTAACTAAACATAATTTACACCCTTGTTAAAAAAAACAGACATAACTTTCAATTAAATAAAGAAAAGGTATGATTTTTAATTATCTGATGTTTACTCTCAAAATGCTCGTAAGATATCACAGATTTTTCATACATGTACAAAAAAAGTAAATTATCAGCATATAATATGGATAGTATTTTATTCAAGAAACATGAAATTGCTACTCGAGTGAAACCGGCACGAATTGCTAATTTTAAATAATGGCAGACGAACTATTTCTAAGATATGATCCTTTTCTAAACTGCAGGTAAGAAACCCAAAAAATACAATAAGAAAGTACAATAAGACCTATAGTCGTTTGTGTTCGTAATATTGTAATGTATTATGAGTTAACAGCTGTCCCCATTTGATTTCAAAGCCGGAAGGGACCCCGCGGTCAATAGTAGTCAATAAATACTCATTCAAGTCCCAGCGTATGTTACGAGAGTGCGTGTAAACTAACAAATATAGACCGTGATGTAAACATTTATTTAGTTTTGATTTTAATAAAATAAATAAGTCAATATGATATGCCTTAGTGCGTGAATTATATAAAATTGATACCAATTATTGAGAATTAGATTGTATTAATGTACCTACATTGAGTACTGTTCAATTGTGTTGATCATTTTATAGACAATTTGGCCACAGACGGAGTATTAATTTTTTGCTTGGTCACTTGTTACAATGTACTTCATAAACAATAGTTGCTCCTTGGAGTATAAACGTGTTTCGAACTTGACTGTTTCTTGAAAATGTCGTCTTTGTAAAATAATGTGGTGAGTCTTTTTTTATATTCTGTGCTAAGTTTAGTAGGTAAATCGTTTTGTCAATTGTGAAACGATTTTGATGATACTTTTGTAATTAAAACAGAAGGGACTCACACGTTACTTACTTTTGAAATTATAAAAAAAATAGATCTGTTATTAGAAGGTCTTTTTATTAAATAAACTCCAAAAATAGGTTTTATAATAAAAATATTTACATACAATTTTTCACTCGCCGGGGAGTATTTTTTAAATAGATGATAATGGAATTGTGCACCCCTGGTCATGTTAGTTAGCCCGTATCAACAGGAATTCATGACGTTGGTCTCCAGCGGAACCGGGTCCACATTACTAATAAACCTCTTCTTTTTTTATTACAATTTGATGGCCTCGATGGTCTAGCAGTTTTGCACACCGTCTTACTTCTGATATCGGTTCGATTCCTCACACGGGACAAACATTTTTATTCTTAAGTATGATTTTATCGGTCTGGATGTTTTCTATGCATAATATGTATTTATGTCAGTTGTCTAGTAGGTACCAATAATACAAGCTCTGCATAGCTTGGGACGAGATGGCGCTGTGTGAATTGTCATAAGATATTATTATTAAGTATTAAAAATGTCAAATGACAGACAAATGAAACACATCTAATGGAAAGTGGTTTAGGATGAGCATCAGGACCCTTTTCAGGACCGCCGTGGGCAACATAAAAATCGCCAACTTCCGATAGGAGATGGCACCAACAGAAGAGAACGGAAAGTGAAATCTTCGCCCGGGTTTGTTACGGTCCTATCCTCGTTCTTTTGTGTTATAGTCATGATGTCCCCGCCACTTTACTCCTCATAAAAGAAATGGGCTAGTTATTGTTTTAATTTTACTTCTAATTTTATTATTTTAGATTTGGATTGGATAATAAAGATGGCCTCACTTCGTACTTTGCTGGTGTTCGGAAAATACGCATTTAGAAAACAGAAGGTAAGTAAATTCA